AGAATTCCTAATCTGGGTCGTAAGTCCCCGCAGGAACGCCACTTCCAACGGTCGCTAAGCGGCCAGTCGTAAATCAAGGACTGCTTGTCATAATGTCGGGACAGGGGTGATGGCCTTGTGGCTTCACCCAGACCCCCTCCTCCCAGGGTTGACTAGGGGGGGCAGCGCTGCTCGGAGGCCCCCCCTCGGCTGGGCTGCCTCTCCCCTCCCTCCAGCCTTCAGGCCTCCTGCGCCCCTCCCCCCTCCCCCAAGGGCTCCCCCAGGCCCCACATCCTCCCAGAAGCCCCCCCCCGACTCACCTTCTCTCTCTGGATCAGCTCGAAGGCGGCCAGCAGTTCCCCGGCAGTCCGGCCGCCCTTCATGACGGGACACCAGGACAGCCTCGGCGTGTGGTCAAGGGTGGGCTTGCAAATGCAGCGGCCCAGGAATTCGTCCGCACCCTGGTTGGAGGGAGGGGGGCAGTCTTAGATGGCTCTTAATCCTCTGTCATTTTAATCGTGTGTGTGTGTGTGTGTGTGTGTGTGTGTGTGTGTGTGTGTGTGTGTGCAGTTGTTTTTACTTCTATATGCTTTTTATTACATTGTAAGCCACCCAGACCTGCCCAGAATTAATAGAGGGAGGGAGAGAGGGAGAGAGGGAAGAAGAAGGGAGGGAGGGAGGGAAGAAGGAAGAAAGGAAAGAAGGGAGGGAGCAAGGGAGGGAGGGAGGGAAGGAAGGAAGGAAAAGAGGGAAGGAGGGAAGGAAGCAAGGAAGGAGGGAAGGAGGAATGAAGGAAGGGAGGGAGGGAGGGAAGAAGGAAGAAAGGAAAGGAGGGAGCGAAGGAAGGAGGAAATGAAGGGAGGGAGGGAGGGAGAGATGAAAGAAGGGAGGGAGGGAGGAAAAGAGGGAGGGAGGGAAGGAAGGAAAAGAGGGAGAGAGGAAGGGAGGGAGGGAGGGAAGGAAGGAAGGAGGGAAGGAGGAATGAAGGAAGGGAGGGAGGGAGGGAGGGAAGAAGGAAGAAAGAGGGAGGGAGAGATGAAAGAAGGAAGGGAGGGAGGGAGGAAAAGAGGGAGGGTGGGAGAGAGGGAAGGAGGGAGGGAGGAAGAAGGAAGAAAGGAAAGAAGAGGGAGGGAGGGAGGGAAGGAAGGAGAGGGAAGAATGAAGGAAGGAAGGGAGGGAGGGAGAGAGGGAGGGAAGGAAGAAAGGGAGAGAGATGAAGGAAGGGAGGGAGGGAGGGAGGAAGGGAGGGAAGGAGGAAGGAAAAGAGGGAGGGAGGGAGGGAGGAAGGAAGGAAGGAAGGAAGGAAGGAAGGGAAGGGAAGGGAAGGGAGGGACGGAGGGAGATGGCTGGAGCCCCCCTTATCACAGGGGAACGTGGTGGGTTTTGTTGCAGACATTTCCTTACCAAACTAGGTAACGTCATCAGTGCTTGAAGGGGGCGGGGTTTTTAGGGAGGAGGAGGAGCAGGACCTTGAGGTTCCTGGTGCTCTCTGAGCTTGGTGAGTTTTCTTGCGGACGTTTCATGACCCAAGTAGGCAACTCCATCAGGGCCAGAAGACCTGGACTAGAAAGGCTGGTAGGACTGGTGGCGTTACCTAGCCGGGTCGTGCAAAGCCTGCAAGAAACCACCTCTAAGTTGTGATGTCAGGGCTGTGTTCTTCACACCCGCCCACCATCTCTGCCCTGACGAACTGAGGCGACCTGCTTAGCCAGGTTCTCCGTGCCCTTCGCACACGCTTACGTAGGTGTCGTGGTCGTAGATCTCAATCACGACGTCGGGAGGGGATTCGGAAATATTTTGGGGAGCCCCGAAGATCTCAATCTCGTAGAAGATCAGCGTCTGGTCCCAGGTGGGGTTCAGCGTATTCTTCGCTACGACCGTCTTCTGGCTCTGGTGTAGGAAGGAGACGATGGCGTAGGGGTCTGGGAAGGAAGAGAGGGAGGGGGGCAGTTTGAGAAACATCTGCACCAGGGAAAGAGCCCTGCACTCTTAGCATGTCCAGAGGAAGTCCTCAACTTACAAGTGTTCATTTGGTGACAACGGTGCTGAAAAAAAGGGGCTTACGACTGTTTGCACACTTACAACTGTGGCAGCGTCCAAATAATAATAATAATAATAATAATGAGAAACTGCAAGGAATCAGTCAGTACCTGACAAGGAAGAAACAGTGCAGTTCTGGAAGCAGATATGGGATAACCCAAAGAAATACAACAAGGATGCGGCTTGGTTAAAAGAGGTGGATGCAAATAAAACAGAAGTTGAAATGAAAGAACTAGTAATAACAACAAAAATGGTAGAAAAAAGAGCAAAGAAAATCAAAAATTGGTCAGCACCAGGTGAAGATGAACTGCATGGGTTTTGGTTGAAACATCTAACTGTTATACACCCACTCATTGCCAAGCAGTTCAACAATATACTACAAGGAGGAGAAATTGAAAAGTGGCTAACAACTGGGAAAACCTACCTAATAATGAAAAATCCAGCAAAAGGGGCAACACCAGGTAACTACAGGCCAATTACCTGCTTACCAACAACTTTCAAATTACTAACTGGTGTGGTAGCTGATGCAGTACAACAGCATCTAGTTGAAAACAATCTCTTTCCACCTGAGCAGAAAGGAAACCGCCCCAATAGCAGAGGAACAAAAGATCAACTCCTAATAGACAAAATGATCTTGGAAAACTGCAAGAGAAGGAAGACCAACCTGAATGTGGCATGGATTGACTACAAAAAGGCATTTGACTCTCTGCCACATGATTGGATAATCAAGTGCCTAGAAATAACAGGAGTAAGTAGAAACATCAGAAAATTTGTGCAAAGATCGATGGCACAATGGAAGACACAGTTGCAGATCAATGGTGAAGCTGGGAGAGGTTAATATCAAGAGAGGAATATTTCAAGGAGATTCATTATCACCATTACTATTTGTTATTGCACTGTTTCCTCTGTCAACAATACTGAATAACTCAGGACATGGCTATCAAACATCAAAAACATCTGCCAGACTATCCCACCTCCTTTATATGGATGATCTGAAGCTGTATGGAAAAACATCATCTGAAATAGAATCGCTGCTCAACACTGTCCGTATATATAGCCAAGATATTGTAATGGAGTTTGGCTTGGACAAATGTGCCACACTTACTATCAAACAAGGAAAAATAGTGAAAACTGAAGGAATCAAGATGCCCCACGAAAATAACATTAAGAGTCTGGACGAGGAAGAATACTACAAATACTTGGGTATCCTTCAAGCTGACAACATCAAGCACACTGAAGTCAAGAAAAAGATTAGAGGTGAATACATCAAGAGAGTGAAGAAGATCTTAAAGTCCAAACTCAATGGAGGAAATACCATAAAGGCAATCAACACCTGGGCAATCCCAGTCATTAGGTACACAGCTGGAATAGTGGACTGGACTCAAGCAGAACTAAAAGCAATGGTTAGGAAGACCAGAAAAATAATGACAATGAATCATGCCCTTCATCCACGCAGTGACATTGATAAACTTTATCTACCAAGGCAAATAGGTGGGCGTGGAATGCTACAAATACATCAGATGGTTGAAGAAGAAAAAAATGGCTTTGGAAGAATATCTGAAGAACAATGATGAAGATGCACTGAAATTAGTATATCAGGAAGGCTTACTGACTACTGGAGAGACCAAAGTGGCCTACAAGAAAGACCAAATGAAGAACAGAATAGAGGCATGGGAAGACAAAGCACTACATGGCCAATACATGAAAAAAATAGCTGGGAAAGCAGACAATAATAAAACCTGGCAATGGCTAAGAGCAGGAAAATTGAAGAAAGAGACCGAGGGACTAATTCTGGCTGCACAAGACCAAGCCTTAAGGACAAATGCATACAAAGTCAAAATTGAGAAGACCGCAACAGACAGTAAGTGCCGCCTATGCAAAGAAGCTGAAGAAACAGTGGACCACTTGGTAAGCTGTTGCAAGAAGATTGCACAGACTGATTACAACAGCGGCATGACAAAGTAGCAACAATGGTGCATTGGAAGATCTGCAAAAAATATCATTTGCCTGTAAGCAAAAACTGGTGGGATCATAAAATAAAGAAAGTCATAGAAAATGATAAAATTAAACTGCTCTGGGACTTCAGAATTCAAACAGACAAGCACCTGCAACATAACACCCCAGACTTAACAATTATCGATAAGAAAGACAAAAAAGTCTGGATAGTGGACGTGGCAGTGCCTGAAGACAGCAGAATAGATGAGAAAGAACTGGAGAAAATAACAAAATACAAAGACCTACAAATAGAAATAGAAAGACTGTGGCAAAAGCAAGCAAGGGTAGTACCAATAGTCATAGGCTCCTTGGGCGCAATCCCAAAACAACTGGAGCACCACTTGAACACCATTGGCGTTGACAAATTTGCTATTAGTCAATTGCAAAAGGCGTTATTAGGAACTGCTTCCATCCTGCGACGATATCTGTAATACCATCAAACATCCACATCTGCCTATCCCAGGTCCTGGGTAAGGACTCGATAGGTAGACAAAATGCCAAATCCAGTCTGAACATCTGGCTGACTGTGCGATGATTGATAATAATAATAATAATAATAATAATAATAATAATAATAATAATAATAATAATAAAGTTGGAAGGGACCTTGGAGGTCATCTAGTTCAACCCCCTGTTCAGGCAGGAAACCCTACACCATTTCGGACAAATGGCTGTCCAGTCTCTTCTTAAAAACCTCCAGTGTTGGAGCATTCACCACTTCTGGAGGCAGGTGGTTCCACTGGTTAATTGTTCTCACTGTCAGGAAGTTTCTCCTTAGTTCTAGGTTGCTTCTCTCCTTGATTAGTTTCCACCCGTTGCTTTTTGTCCTGCCTTCAGGGGCTTTGGAGAATAGCTTGACTCCCTCTTCTTTGGGGCAGCCCCTGAGATACTGGAAGACTGCTGTCCTGCCCCCTCTCGTCCTTCTCTTCATTAAACAAGACATACACAATTCCAGCAACCGTTCCTCATGTGTTTTAGCCTCTAGTCCCCTAATCATCTTTGTTGCGCTTCTCTGCACTCTTTCTAGAGTCTCAACATCTTTTTTACATCGTGGTGACCAAAACTGGATGCAGTATTCCAAGTGTGGCCTTACCAAGGCCTTGTAAAGTGGTATTAAGACTTGACGTGATCTTGATTCTATCCCTCTGTTCATGTAGCCCAGCACTGTGTTGACCTTTTTGGCAGCTGCAGCACACGGCTGGCTCCTATCTAAGTGATTGTCCACTAGGACTCTGAGATCCCTCTCAAAGTTACTACCATTGAGCAAGGTACCCCCTATACTTCCCTTGAAGGAGGCCACCAAACTGGAAGCTGAAGTGACATCCTTCAAAGGACGTCTTGACCATTCCTGCTCATCACAACACAATCACTCCTGCTTCTTCAGATTCTAGTTGATGCCATCGTCAAAAATGAATGAATCATTTTGAATGCGTGGACTTGTCTTGCCTTTTGGTGCTTTGGAGAATAGGCTCACACACACACACACACACACACACACACACACACACACACACACAGTGTCTTTGTGGCAGCCCCTCAAACCCTGGGAGACTGCCCTCATGTTCTCCCCCAGGCACTTTTTATCAGACTAACCGGTCAGTCCTGGAAGAGATCAACCCTGACTCCTCTTTAGAAGGCCAAATCCTGAAGTGGAAACTCAAATACTTTGGCCACCTAATGAGAAGGAAGGACTCACTGGAGAAGGGCCTGATGCTGGGAAAGATGGAGGGCAAGAGAAGAAGGGGACGACAGAGAATGAGATGGCTGGATGGAGTCACTGAAGCAGGAGGCGTGAGCTTCAATGGACTCCAGAAGATGGTAGAGGACAGGAAGGCCTGGAGGAACGTCGTCCATGAGGTCGCAATGGGTCGGATACGACTTCGCAATTAACAACAACAAATCCATTCCTGCAGCCATCCTTCGTATGTTTTAGTCTCCAGGCCTTTGATCCTCTTAGTGCAGTGTTTCTCAACCTCGACCATTTTAAGGCATGTGGACTTCATCTCCCAGAATTCCACAGCCAGCAATGCTGGCTGTGGAATTCTGGGAGTTGAAGTCCACATGCCTTAAAATGGTCAAGGTTGAGAAACACTGTCTTAGTGGCTCTTCTTTGCCCTTTTTCCCCAAAGTCTCAACCTCTTTCTGGTAGTGTGGGTGACCAAAACTGGATGCAGCATTCCAGATGTGGCCTTACTAAGGCTTTACAAAGCGGCACGGACACTCCACGTGATCCCTTAGCTGTTTGCTGAAGGTCCTTCCTTTCGCCCTGAGTCAGAGGAACACGGACTGCGCTGAAGTCCAACCCCCTTTCGAAGCCTTTTTCAAAAGACCCCTTTGTCTCCGCTTTGCATCCAGACCAGGTTTCATTTTTATGACCCTGAAAAGCAGTCCTTTATGCTTTGTTCCACCAACAGCAAATCGCAATTCCATCTTGTCTACATCTGTGGCGGCTGTTGTCATTGGCTGCCGTCCATGCGAAGAAAGTTACTCCCACTCGGTCTAGCCAATCAGGCAGGATGAGGTCATCCTTTTGGAGTGAGGCTTTGAGTTCAAGGCAACAAACATGCACATAAACACACACACACACACACACACACACACACACACACAGACACCCATGCATGTGTGATTGCTGTGAGAAAAGAGCAGATTTTACATCTGCATCTCCATATATTCTGCCCTTGCCTAAACTCACCGAGCAGCCCAGCCCAGCATCTCAGCTTACCTGAAAAACTGTCTTTATCCATGGCTAGCAGGTCCCTGGCCTGGTAGATGTAGCAACGTAGATGGTAGCGATTTCCGTCTTTAAGGAGAGAAAGGTTGTGAATAACAACACAACAAAAGCGGCAATACGGAACATCTCACTTTAAAGCTAAGGCCTGGAGTAGGGGTTCTCCAGACGTGGCCACTTTCAGACTTCTGGACTTCAACTCCCAGAATTCCTCAGCCAGCTATGCATATTGGGGGATGCTGGCTGGGGAATTCTGGGAGTTGAAGTCCACAAGTCTAAAAGGGGCCATGTTTGGAGGCCCCAGGTCTAGAGGTAATTTTCAAGAAAGAGTTACAAATTGCTGCCTATTTTAGTATTTTTCTGCCTAGCACAGGGGTACGCAACCTTGGCTCTTTTATGATTTGTGGATTTCAACTCCCAGAATTCCTGAGCCAGCATGGGGGAACTATGATCCCTTTACAACTCGTGGACTTCAACTCCCAGAATTCCTGAGCCAGAATGGCTCAGCTTGGAAACCTCTCCCTTTCCCCTCAGCACGACTGGCTCAGGAATTCTGGGAGTTGAAGTCCACCAGTCATAAAGCGGCCTAGTCCTAATGCAGGGGTAGCAACCTTGGCTCTTTTATGATTCGTGGATTTCAACTCCCAGAATTCCTGGGCCAGCCATATTGAGGAGAAAGGGAGAGGTTTCCAAGCTGAGCCAGGCTGGCTCAGGAATTCTGGGAGTCAAAGTCCACCAGTCATAAAAGAGCCAAGGTTGCCTACCTCTGGCCTAGGCCTAGGCCGCTTTATGACTGGTGGACTTCAACTCCCAGAATTCCTGAGCCAGCCTGGCTCAGCTTGGAAACCTCTCCTTTCCCCTCAGCATGGCTGACTGAGGAATTCTGGGAGTTGAAGTCCATCAGTCATAAAAGAGCCAAGGTGGCCTACCCCTGGCCTAGCACCTTCCGGTGCTATCAATTGTAGCCTTTACTACATTGGAGGTTCTCATCCAAGAGGAATCCGGTGGAAGGCGGCATGGGGGAGTAGTCTTGAATACAGGCTGTCCTCGACTTACAACAGTTCATTTAGTGACTGATCACAAAGTTACAACAGCCCTGACAAAAGGGACTTAGGACCATTTTTCAAACTTACGACCGTTGCAGCATCCCCACGGTCACGTGATCGAAATTCAGACCCTTGGAAACTGACTCATGTTTAAGACGGTCGCAGTGTCCCGGGGTCACACGATCCCCTTTTGCGACCTTCTGATGTGCAAAGTCAATGGGGAAGGCAGATTCGCTTAAGGACTGTGTTACTACTAGCCAGCTGAGGCATTCTGGGAGTTGAAGTCCACAAGTCTTGAAGCGGCCATGTTTGGAGAGCCTTGGCCTACACCATCCTGTGTCCTTTATCCAATGGTGGGATTCAAATACGTGAACAACCGGCTCTCTGCATGGATGCCGCTTCCAGAAGTCTATACCAGGCCTAGGCCTCCAAGACCCAGAATGGACTTCTGGAAGTGGCATCCACGCACTTCTGGTGGGCAGTTCTGGGCCTCGGAGGCCTCCCCCAGGCCTCCGAGGCCCAGAACAGACTTCCAGAAGCAGCATCCACGCACTTCCGGTGGGCCGTTCTGGGCCTGGGAGGCCTCTCCCAGGCCTCTGAGGCCCAGAACGGACATCCAGAAGCAGCATCCATGCACTCCTAGCGGTCCGTTCTGGGCCTTGCGAAAAAGGACTAGTGCAGGGGTTCTCAACCTTGGCAACTTTAAGACTTGTGGACTTCAACTCCCAGAATTCCTCAGCCAGCTTTGCTGGCTGAGGAATTCTGGGAGTTGAAGTCCACAAGTCTTAAAGTTGCCAAGGTTGAGAATCCCTGGACTAGGACTTCCGCCAGTTCTCTGAAGTCAAAGAAAGTTAGCTACCAGTTATGCCGAACCGGTGCGAATCAGCTGAACACCACCAGTGCCTTTCTCAATGCGTTTTGTGGTTATTACTCTTTTACGGTTTCGTTCTTCTTTCAGTGTCTGTCAATATCTCCATGACTCGCTCGGAGCACACCAACTCTAGGGCAGGTCCGAAATAATGAAATAAAATTCTCCCCCTAAAAGCGACACCGAGAACTCGGAGCGCTTTCAGCATCCCTGCCCCAGTGTCAGAGCTGGTCCTGCCCTGACCCACAGATCCCTCTTTCTCCCCCCCCCCACCCAGGGGACACTTACAGTCAAAGATGCAGGAAACGGTGGGCCGGTTCACTCCGAAGTTGAGGGTGGACACGGATTTCCCGTCATCGCTCTTGTCGTCTGTCACTCCACCCTGAAGGAGAAGTCAGTTTTCATTTTGCCGGAGGGGGGGGCATGCTGACACCCCCTCCCCAGACACACACACACACACACACACACACAAATGCTTGCTTTTCTGCAGGAAGAGAGCTTTTCAATACACGCGGGTTTTTTTTAAATTGTTTTGGTCTTTATTTGTTTGCTTTTTGGCTTGTTAATATTTTTTTTTTACCTTTGTACAGTTAGTCCTCAATATATGATGGCAATGGAGCCCAATCAACCACCTCCACTGTTAATTAATTAATCAGAATAGAGCTGGAAGGGACCTTGGAGGTCATCTAGTCCAACCCCCTGCTCAGGGAGGAAACCCTATACCATTCCAGACAAGTGGCTGTCCAGTCTCTTCTTCAAAAACTCCAGCGATGGAGCACCCACAACCTCTGGTGGCAAGCTGTTCCACTGGTTAATTGTCCTGGCTGTTAGGAAGTTTCTCCTTAATTCCAGGTTGCTTCTCTCCCTGACTGGTTTCCATCTGTTGCTTTTGTCCTGCCTTCGGAGGCTTTGGAGAATAGGTGGAAACGCCCCCCCCTCTTTTTTGTGGCAGTCTCTTAGATAACAGAATAACCTAGTTGGAAGGGACCTTGGAGGTCTTCTAGTCCAACCCCCTGCTCAAGCAGGAGACCTTAGACCAGTGTTTCTCAACCTTGACAATTTTAAGGCATTGCTGGCTGTGGAATTCTGGGAGTTGAAGTCCACATGCCTTAAAATTGTCAAGGTTCAGAAACACTGCCTTAGACCATTTCAGACAAATGGCTGTCCAGTCTCTTCTTCAAAAACTCCAGTGTTGGAGCACCCACAACCTCTGGTGGCAAGCTGTTCCACTGGTTAATTGTCTTCACTGTCAGAAAGTCTCTCCTTAATTCTAGGTTGCTTCTCTCGTTGATTGGTTTCCATCCAGGAAGAGTTGCTCTCTGAGCTGGATTGTTCTCTTGCAGACATTTCATTACTCAAATTAAGCAACATCATCAGGGCTAGAAGGGAGAGGGGCTTGTGGGGGGGAGGGAGGAGGAGGAGGAGGAGGAGGAAAAAGACTGTGGGGTCCTTGGTGCTCTCTCAGCTTGATGGTTTCCTTGCAGACCTTTCATTACCCAACTAGGTAACATCATCAGTGCTAGAGCAGAAGGAGGAGGAGGGAGGAGGAGGAGGAGGAGGAGGAGGAGGAGAAGAAGAAGAAGAAGAAGAAGAAGAAGAAGAAGAAGAAGAAGAAGAAGAAGAAGAAGAAGAAGAAGAAGAAGAAGAAGAAGAGAAGTAGGAGGAGGAGGAAGAGGAGGAGATAAAGATGAAGATGAAGATGAGGAGGAGGACTGTGGGGTCCTTGGTGCTCTCTGAGCTGGGTTGTTCTCTTGCAGACATTTCATTACTCAAACTAAGCAACATCATCAGGGCTAGAAGGGAGAGGGGCTTGTGGGGGGGAGGAGGAGGAGGAGGAGGAGGAGGAGGAGGAGGAGGAGGAGGAGGAGGAGGAGGAGGAGGAGGAGGAAAAAGACTGTGGGGTCCTTGGTGCTCTCTCAGCTTGGTGGTTTCCTTGCAGACCTTTCATTACCCAACTAGGTAACATCATCAGTGCTAGAGCAGGAGGAGGAGGAAGAAGAGGAGGAGGAGGACTGTGGGGTCCCTGGTGCTCTCTGAGCTGGGTTGTTCTCTTGCAGACATTTCATGACCCAAACTAGGTGACATCATCTGTGCCAGGACCCCACATTTGAACCCTGAGCTACCGATATTCTTCTTTATTGGTTCCCAGGCGCTCTCTGTCTGAAGAAATAATTAAAAGCAAAACCAGGATCCTCTCGTGGTTGGGATTGGGGCCAAAGCTTGCCCACAGCCCTCCCTCCGCTGGATCCCTTGCCTACGATGACAGTGCCAAGGATTTGAAGGTGGGGAGTCCTGAAAAGGCCTTGAAGTTTAAACTGCTTCGAGACCCCCGTTCTGAGCCCACGGCCAGCCAGCCCAGCCCCAGAGAGCAGAGTGGAGACGCTGAAGCGCCAAAGCTTGGCCCGCTCTCAAGGTGAACGAGAAAATAGAGAGAAGTCTTTGACTTGTTTTCTTTCCTTTTTGAGAAAACCACATGACTCAACGTTATATATTTACTTGTTTCAAGACCTAGTCCAAATGCTGGGTGGGGGGGAAAGGAGGAGGGGGGGCTGGGAGGGATGAAATGTAGCATAAAAGAGAAAAATCAGAGGCAGGAGGAAAATAGAATGAGTTCTTTGTGCTGGAGCCCAAAGATTATGAAATCCAACGTCTTCAGAGAAACCAGGATATTAGTTAAGAAAATAAATGTGGGAATGGGCAAGGGTTGGGGAGGGGGCCCTATTCATCCCCCTCCTCCCAGCATAGGCTTGAATCCAGCCACATCAGAAGGAAAACCAGGCAGGCAGGTAGCTGCCACTGCTTTGGAAGGAGACCATCTCAACCAGGCTGAGGGCAACACGTCAGAGTAACAGAAGGATGGAAGGGACCTTGGAGGTCTTCTAGTCCAACCCCCTGCTCAGCCAGGAAACCCTACACCATTTCGGACAAATGGCTGTCCAGTCTCTTCTTAAAAACTTCCAGTGTTGGAGCATTCACCGCTTCTGGAGGCAGGTTGTTCCACCACTTCTGGAGGCAGGTTGTTCCACTGGTTAAGTGTTGGAGCATTCACCGCTTCTGGAGGCAGGTTGTTCCACTGGTTGTTCCACTGGTTAAAAACTTCCAGTGTTGGAGCATTCACCGCTTCTGGAGGCAGGTTGTTCACTGTCAGGAAGTTTTTCCTTAGTTCTAGGTTGCTTCTCTCCTTGATTAGTTTCCATCCGTTGCCTCTTCTCCTGCCTTCAGGTGCTTTGGAGAGTAGCTTGACTCCCTCTTCTTTGGGGCAGCCCCTCAACTATTGGAAGACTGTCAGGAGGACCCCCAAGTTGCACACCAGGGGTAGCACAACTCCATCCAGAGTTAATGCTGGCTGGGGAATTCTGGGAGTTGGTTCTCACAGTCAGGAAGTTTCTCCTGAGTTCCAGGTTGCTTCTTTCCTTGATCCGTTTCCATCTGTTGCTTCTTGTCCTGCCTTCAGGCGCTTTGGAGAAGAGGCTGACAATCCCCCCCCCTTTTTTTTTTCTTTATGGCACATAAATTGAAGTCCACAAGCTTTAAAGTTTCCAAAGTTGGACAGCCCCCTCCCCACACTCTATGGCTTGGGAGCAATCCCGTCGGGAAACTGATTTCCCCCCCAAAAAAAATTTTCAGAAGAGGTTCTGCACAAATTCATCCCAGACGAGGGTGAGGATGCCCAAGGCACTCTGGAGCTCCGGGATAAGACAGTGTTCTCCATTTCTACAGTCTTCGGATTTGTAATTAGAATATTAGATTTTGGTATGGGAAAGGAAACAAGAAAACGCTAAGACGTTTGAATAAGGGAAGCTTTTGGTTACACAACTATAACTTACTTTCAAATTATAAACAATAGAGGCATTTTGAATACTGATGGGAAATTATTTTTTTTTAAAAAAAAGCAAAAACAGGAAACGGATTGAACATACGGATATTAAGTGCCAATGCAATTAAGATATGTTTTGGTTAGAAAAGTTATCTAAAACTGATGTTATGAGAAAAAAATGTAACAAGGATGTTGATATTCAATTGCAATATTTATTAATAACAATAAGAATTGTATTTGCCTAGTGTGGGAAGAAGAGAGGAAACATTTGATGGTGTAAAATTGGATCTAGATTGAAGAAGTTAATATATAAAGCACCGAATTACTAATGGGCCTAGGCCAGGGGCAGGCAACCTTGGTTCTTTTATGACTCGTGGATTTCAACTCCCAGAATTCCTAAGCCAGCATGAGGGAAACCTTGGCCCCTTCACGGCTTGTGGACTTCAACTCCCAGAATTCCTGAGCCAGCCATGCTGAGGGAAAAGGGAGAGGTTTCCAAGCTGAGCCAGGCTGGCTCAGGAATTCTGGGAGTTGAAGTGCACGAGTCATAAAAGAGCCAAGGTTGCCTACCCCTGGCCTAGGCCTAGGCCGCTTTATGAGTTGTGGACTTCAACTCCCAGAATTCCTGAACCAGGATGGCTCAGCTTGGAAACCTCTCTTTCCCCTCAGCATGGCTGGCTCAGGAATTCTGGGAGTTGAAGTCCACAACTCATAAAGCGGCCTAGGCCAGAGGTAGGCAACCTTGGTTCTTTTACGACTCGTGGACTTCAACTCCCAGAATTCCTGAGCCAGCATGGCTCAGCTTGGAAACTCTCCCTTTCCCCTCAGCACGGCTGGCTCAGGAATTCTGGGAGTTGAAGTCCACCAGTCATAAAAGAGCCAAGGTTTCCCCACCCCTGGCCTAGGCCATTCCAGACAGAGGGTTGTAGTAACCATGCTCCTAACTTCACCACCGCCAAGTGATTCACTTAACAACTATGACCAGAAAGGTCACAAAACGGGGCAAAAGACACTGGACCCCTGTCTCACTTAGCGACAGAGACGTTGGGCTCGATTGTCGTGGTAAGTTGAGGACCACCTGTCCCTGGGGGAAAGGAAGGACAGCTGGGAGAGGAAGAACGGACGCTACCTACCAGGGCGCCTTCCAGGGCAAAGACAGCCGCTGGGCCCGTCTGCTCCAGGGGCTCCATCCGACGTCTCCAGCGCCGACGGCGAAAGGCATCCGTCTTGCGGTGTTTCATATGGAAGGTCCAGCCAAAGAGGGAGGCGTATTCCCAGCCCTCCCCTTCCAGCTCCTCCTGTTTATACTGGAGGGGAAAAGATCTCGTTTCAGTGACAGGGAACCAAGACAGCTACTAGTGGAGAAGACCTAATCGAATTACCTAGTTGGAAGGGACCTTGGAGGTCTTCTAGTCCAGCCCCCTGCTCAAGCAGGAGACCCTTTGCTATTCCCGACAACTGACCGTCCAATCTCTTCTTGAAAACCTCCAGTAACGGAGCACCCACCACTTCTGGTGGCAGGTTGTTCCGCTGGTTAATTGTCCTCACTGTCATCTATGGAGATTCTCCATCATCCAGGCCAGACTGGTCCCAAAGCTGCTTTTTCCCAATGGCAGCTGGACTTTCTTGTTTGTTTGTTTTTCTTCCAAAACATTTCACTTCTCATCCAAGAGAACTGTAGAAGCTTCCTGGATGAGAAGCAAAATGTTTTCAAGGGGGGGGGGAAACCCAGAGAAATTCCAGTTGTCTTTTGGAAAAAAGCACCTTTGGGACCAGGATGGCCTGGATGATGGGGAAGCTCCACAGGCATTTCCCCCAATAGACTGGTCAATAATCATCATCATCATCATCATCATCACAACAACAACAATAATAATAATGTTGGAAGGGACCTTGGAGGTCATCTAGTCCAACCCCCTGCTCAGGCCGGAAACCCTATCCATTTCAAACAAGTGGCTGTCCAGTCTCTTCTTAGAATCCTGCACCCTCAGCCCAAACTGGGATAGGACAAGGAAGATAACCTGAACCCAGGACTGCTAAAGACAACCTGGACTCTGAGTTGGAGATCAGATGAAGGGAACTTCCTGAGAACAGAGGAGAAAAAGAGGCCGATGGAGCTGATTTATGCCACAATTAAAGCCTGTCAGCATATGCTCCCAGTCCTAATAATAATAATAATAATAAAGTTGGAAGGGACCTTGGAGGTCATCTAGTCCAACCCCCTGCTCAGGCAGGAAACCCTATACCATTTCAGACAAATGGCTGTCCCGTCTCTTCTTAAAAACCTCCAGTGTTGGAGCATTTACTGCTTCTGGAGGCAGGTTGTTCCACTGGTTAATTGTTCTCACTGTCAGGAAGTTTCTCCTTAGTTCTAGGTTGCTTCTCTCCTTGATTAGTTTCCACCCATTGCTTCTCGTCCTGCCTTCAGGCGCTTTGGAAAAGAGCTTGACTCCCTCTTCTTTGGGGCAGCCCCTGAGACACTGGAAGACTGCCCTCAGCCAGCCTTGGAATTAGATTTATTATTTTATTGAACCCAACATTCCCCACGTCCCCCAATCCCAGCCTGGCCTGGATGACTTTTCCATCTCATACTTCAGGAACTCCGTGTGCGTCTGCCTGTTTACAGCCTGGTCTATTTTTAAGGCAACCAACTCATCGTTATGTTTTAAACATTTGTGGAAATCCACAGTCTTGGCCGGCATTGTGGATAACTTGTTTAATCCTAGGGCAAGCATGTGAAACCTTTTTCCAAATATTTTCCACTATGGGCATGTGGAAACGTCTCGGTCCACATTCTAGCATTTTTTTATACGTGCGGCAACAGCCTCACCTCCCAACCTGGGGCATGATCCAGTGGGAATAATCCCACATCAACCGCAGGGAAATAAGCAGCAGACGTTCTCAGCGAGTCCCTTGTAAATTGCCCTTTGAGTAAAGGGTGAGCATCGGGGACGTCTAGCGAGGACCAAGGTCCTCCTGAGGGTCTCCTGGGAGAGCCAGCCTGGTCTATGCTGACGGGAGAGGATATTTGTGGCTCAAGGTTGAAAAGAGAGGGTCCCTGGTGCTCTCTGCGCTGGGCGGGTTTTTTTTGCAGATGTTTCATGACCCGGCTAGGTAACATCTTTAGTGCAAGAAAATGGAGGGGAGGGGTGGGTGGGTGTGGAGAGGAGGAAGGGGAGAAAGAGGAAGGGGAGGAGGAGGAGGAGGAGGAGGAGGAGGAGGAGGAGGACGACGACGACTGTGGGTCCTTGGTGGTCCCTGAAACATTTCATTACCAAGCTAGATAACATCATCAGTGCTAGAAGGGAGTAGGGTTTATTGAAGAGGAAGAGGAGGAGGAGGAGGAGGAGAAAGAGGAGGAGGAGAAGAAGAGAAAAAAGAGGAGGAGGAGGAGGAGAAAGAGGGAGGAGGAGGATGGAGAAAGGAGAAAAGAAAAGGGAGGAGGAGGAGGAGGAGGAAGAGGAGAAAGAGAAGGAGAAAGAGGAGAAGGGGGAAGAGGAGGAGGAAAAGGAGAAGGAGGAGAAGCTCAGCTGTTTTCTTGCAGACGTTTCCTGACCCAACTATGGAACACCATCAGTGCTAGAAGGGAGAAGGGTTTGCTCTCTGCTTATGTTTTGCATTTAAGACATTCCTTAAGGAGATGGAGGAGGAGGAGGAGGAGGAGGAGGAGGAGGAGGAGGAGGAGGAGACAGAAACCATGACCTTGAGTGAGGTTCCATCACGGGGACATGAATGAGGTTCTCCCAGAGAAAGCCCTCTTCTGCTTGAGTAGCGGGCTGGACTAGAAGACCTCCAGGGTCCCCTCCAGCTCTATTCTATTCTTCAACTGCCAAGAGCTTCTCCACAGTATTCGAGTTATCCGTTGTGCAAGGGCGACACCTACAGGAGAGCAGAAGCACTGCCGGTAGAATCCAGCTTGCTCAGCAAGATCCCTGACTTGCCGAGGTCCCTGATTAGACGGCGGTTTATTGATCCTTGTTTGTCTGAGTTGGTAGTTCCTTGATTGGGGTATTGTCGACTGTTGACTGTTTCTTGCTTGCTGCTTCAGTGTTGGCCTGGTGTTAATCTTGCTGTTAATCTCTGCTTATCTGGGCGTTGAACCACCAAGAAAAATACCATTGTTAACAGGGCAAACCATTTGTATATAAACAGAGAGGAAACCCCCCCTCCCCTCGAGCACTGATGATGTCACCTGGTTGGGTCATGAAACGTCTGCAAGAAAACCACCCAGCTCAGAGAGCACCAGGGACCCCAAAAGCCTTCCTCCTCCCTTTTTCCTCCTCCTCCTCCTCCCTTTCTCTTCCTCCCTTCCTCCTCCTCCTCCCTTTCTCCTCCTCCTCCCTTTCTCTTCCTCCCTTCCTCCTCCTCCTCTCCCTTTCTCGTCCTCCTCCTCCCCTTCTCTTCCTCTTCCTCCTCCTCCTCCTCCCTTGCTCCTCTTCCTCCTCCTCCTCCTCCTCCTCCTCCTCCTCCTCCTCCTCCTCCTATTCTGAAAATTCTCCCTGCCTTCTAGCACTGATGATGTTACCTAGTAGGGTCACAAAATGTCTGCAAGAAAAAAAACAAGTTCAGAGAACACCAAAGGACTCCACAGTTGTCATCCTCCTCCCTTTCTTCTCCTCCTCCTCCTTCTCTTCCTCCTCCTCCTCCCTTTTTCCTCCTCTTTCTCTTCCTCCCTTTCTCCTCCTCCTCCTGCCTTTATCATCATCCTTCTCCTCTTCCCTTTCTCCTCCTTTCTCTTCCTCCCTTTCTCCTCCTCCTCCCTTTCTCCTCCTCTCTTCCTCCCTTTCTCCTCCTCTCCTGTGAAAATTCTCCCTGCCTTCTATTACTGATGATGTTGCCTAGTTGGGTCATGAAACATCTGCAAGAAAACCACCCAGTTCAGAGAGCACCAGGGACCCCACAGTCTTTTTTTCCTCCTCCTCCTCCTCCTCCTCCTCCTCGTCCCCTCCCTCCTCCTCCTCCCCCTCCTATCTGCAAATTCCCCTCCCTTTCCTTTCAAGAGATGTCAAACATCTGTAAGGAAAGAACCCCACTCAGAGAGCCCCCAGGAGCCCTCAGTTCTGTGTCCCTTTGATTCTTCATCTACGACAACCGAGCCTCCGAAACAAGGCGCAGTATTATAACCGTGGAACAAGCGCCAAAGGCATTGTGTGCTGTAACCTTCATCTTTACAGCAACCACACAGCAACCGCATCGCAGAATGTGGCAATGGAGAAGAAGCAGCAGGCTGCAGATTCCTGTTTTAAAATCCACTACAGCGTCTCCAGGCTACTTTGACTCCAGGGAGACTTCCCCATCCCCAGAGCTACGCAACTGTGCAGGAATGTGACTTCACCTCTGCGCACACACCACAGGCACCCAAAAATGTAATTCCCCTTCAAAAGGTTTGTTCAAAGCCAGAAGCCTACAAATGGTTTCCCTCTGTTTAAAAAGCAAAGTGGGGTTTTAATCCTTTTACTTTAACCCGGAGTTGTAAACCATTTGGCATCGTGTTCAAGGGAAGCAGCCTTTAAGCTCTGGCTATAAATACATCGGTAAGCTATAAAACCAAGTCTTCGTCTACAAAGGCGCTTCCAAAGGAAAGAACTTTCGCTCACCCCACAAGAGCTGAACACACACAAAACTCCGCACCGCAGGGCAATAACAACCAAAGTCATCAAAGTGGTTAGGAGAATAATCCCAGTGTTTCTGAGGGAGGCATAACTTTAGAGGACAGATTGACCAGGTCAGGTGAGGAACCCAGACGGGGGAAGAAGTAACCAAACCAAGAACCCCAAAGCCTTTTTGTCAAGGAAACAGGAAAAAAAAAATCTGTTGACAAGGAAGGGCCAACAATAATATCTCATGCAGGTATTTAGAAAGCTCAGAACTTTAAAATGCCTCCCAAGCTCATTCTAGAACTTGAAATAAGATACAAAAATGAGAGTGGGGGAGAGAGGAGAGAGCGAGAGAAAACAGAGAAGAGAGAAGAAGAGAGAGAGAAGAAAGACAGAGAGAGAGGAGAGAGAGAAAGAAGAGAGAGAGACCAGAGAAGAGAGACAGAGAAGAGCGACTGGAGAGAGAAGAGAGACAGAGGAAAGAGAGAGAGAAGAAAGAGAGAACAGAGAGAGAGAGAGAGAGAAGAGAGAGAGAGAGAGAAGAGAGAGAGAACAGAGAGAGGAAAGAAAGAAAGAAGAGAGAAGAGAGAGAGAAGAGAAAGAGAGGAGAGAAAAGAGAGACAGAGGAGAGAGAGAGGACAGAAAAGAGAGAGAGAGAGAGAAGAGAGAGAGAGAGAGAAGAGAGAGAGAGAGAGAAGAGAGAGAGAGAGAGAAGAGAGAGAGGAGAGAAGAGAGAGTGAGGAGAGAGAAGAGAGACAGAGGAAAGAGAGAGAAAGAAGAGAGAGAGAACAGAGAGAGGAAAGAAAGAAAGAAGAGAGAAGAGAGAGAGAAGAGAAAGAGAGGAGAGAAAAGAGAGAGAGAGAGAGAAGAGAGAGAGAGAGAGAAGAGAGAGAGAGAGAGAGAGAGAGAGGAGAGAGAAGAGAGAGAGGAGAGAGAAGAGAGACAGAGGAAAGAGAGAGAGAGAAGAGAGAGAGAGAGAAGAGAGAGAGAACAGAGAGAGGAAAGAAAGAAAGAAGAGAGAAGAGAGAGAGAAGAGAAAGAGAGGAGAGAAAAGAGAGAGAGAGAGAGAAGAGAGAGAGAGAGAGAAGAGAGAGAGAGAGAAGAGAGAGAGAGAGAGGAGAGAGAAGAGAGACAGAGGAAAGAGAGAGAGAGAAGAGAGAGAGAGAGAAGAGAGAGAGAGAGAGAAGAGAGAGAGGAGAGGAGAGAGAGTGAGGAGAGAGAAAAGAGACAGAGGAAAGAGAGAGAAAGAAGAGAGAAGAGAGAAGAGAGAGAGAAAGAGAGGAGAGAGAGAGAGAGAAGTATTGTTCACAACTTCATCCCATTCGAACAGTCCGTGTCTGTTGACTGCAGTCCAATCACATTCATCTCACAATTACTAAAAACAATGAATTAGTGGAATGGCTTGCCATTAGATATTACAGTCTTCCAATATTTGAGGGGTTGCCATAAAGAAGGGGGGGCACCTATTCTCCAAATTCACCAGAGGGCAGAACAAGAAACCGATCAAGGAGAGAAGCAACCTGGAACTCAGGAGAAACTTCCTGACAGTGAGGACAATTAACCAGTGGAACAACCTGCCTCCAGAAGCGGTGAATGCTTCAACACTGGAAGTTTTTAAGAAGAGACTGGACAGCCATTTGTCTGAAATGGTGTAGGGTTTTCTGCTTGAGCAGGGGGTTGGACTAGATGACCTCCAAGCTCCCTTCCCTCTCTATTATTCTCCAGATTGCGTGGAGATGATGGGGCCTGGCTCAGTTTTCCTCGTTTGTGTTTGTGTCCACCTCGTCCTTACCTTTTTCAAGGCCTCCATCTGAGCCAGGTCTCTTCTGCGGAGCCTCACCCAACGTCGGCGTCGGTTAGTGTGATACATCTTCTCCGCTGGCACCCAAGACTTGGGTTTGTGGTCTGGAGGGAGGGTGATGCCGTATTCCCAGCCTCGGAGAGAAGACAGAAAAGCTTGGAATGTTAAAAGGAACTGTGGTTGGAAGCTGATCGAGGAGAGAAGCAACCTGGAATTGAGGAGAAGTTTCCTGATGATGAGGACAATCGACCAGTGGAACAGCTTGCCACTAGAAATCGTGGGCGCTCCATCACTGGAGATATTTAAGAGGAGACTGGACAGTCACTGAAATGGTATAGGTTCTCCTGCTTGAGCAGGGGGCTGGACTAGAAGACCTCAAAGGTCCCTCCCAACTCTGTTATTCTATTCTATTCTATTCTATTCTGTTCCGTTCTGTTCTATTATATTTTCTATTTTCTATTCTATTCTATTCCTTATTCTCTTCCTTATTCTCTTCTCTTCCCTTCCCTTCCCTTCTATAGTCTATATTCTATTCTATTCTATTCATTATTTTATCTGTTCTATTCTATTCTATTCTATTCTATATTCCATTCTATTCTATATTCCATTCTATTCTATTCTATTCTATATTCTATTCTATTCTATTCTATTCTATTCTATTCTATATTCCATTCCATTCCATTCTATTCTATTCTATTCTATTCTATATTCCATTCTATTCTATTCTATTCTATTCTATATTCCATTCTATTCTATTCTATTCTATATTCCATTCTATTCTATTCTATTCTATTCTATTCTATTCTATTCTATATTCCATTCTATTCTATTCTATATTCTATTCTATTCTATATTCTATTCTATATTCCATTCTATTCTATATTCCATTCTATTCTATTCTATTCTATTCTATATTCTATTCTATTCTATTCTATTCTATATTCCATTCTATTCTATTCTATTCTATTCTATTCTATATTCCATTCTATATTCCATTCTATTCTATTCTATATTCTATTCTATTCTATTCTATTCTATTCTATTCTATTCTATTCTATTCTATATTCCATTCTATTCTATTCTATATATTCTATATTCTATTCTATTCTATTCTATTCTATATTCCATTCTATATTCCATTCTATTCTATTCTATATTCTATTCTATTCTATTCTATTCTATTCTATATTCCATTCTATTCTATTCTATATATTCTATATTCTATTCTATTCTATTCTATACTATTCTATTCTATTCTATTCCTTATTCTCTTCTCTTCTCTTCCATTCCGTTCCATTCTATTCTATTTTCTATTCTATTCCTTATTCTCTTCCTTACTCTCTTCTCTTCTCTTCCCTTCCCTTCCCTTCTATAGTCTATAGTCTATATTCTATTCTATTCTATTCATTATTTTATCTATTCTATTCTATTCTCTCCTATCCTATTCTATTCTTTTTCTATTGTATTCTATTCTATCTTCTCTTCTATCCTATCCTATCCTATCCTCCTTTTGTATTTAAACATGTGCTGAATCTCTCCTGCTTTCCATGAACAGGGGCAAGGAATTCTGAAACTGGAAGTCCAGCACATCTGCAAGGCCCCAGCTGCTTCAGAGAACTGAGACCCAGTAATTCAGACCTTGGTAGGACGTTGAGACCTCAGCCCAGTTTTCCAGATCGTGGGACCACGACGGACAGGTCAAGGAAAAAACTCCAGGCTGGCCATTTTTTAAAGCCAAATAGCAAGCAATTGCTTGGGAGCCCCAAAGCATCCCTTCTTATAGTTTTAGAAATAAATTCTGCTATAGCCCATTATAGCTAGTTCTGAAGCAAAAAAAAGAAGAAGGAGATAATATATGAAGGAAGATTAGGAAATTCTTCATGGTCTCATTTCCTTGTTCAAGAAACAAGAATGTATTTGTCTGGACCAAAGTGAGGGTTTTCTCTAAATCCTTCAAAGCGTTTGAGTTCTCTTTCCGTTATTGTCTATTCTCTACAAATCAGGGGTTCTCAACCTTGGCCACTTTAAGACTTGTGGACTTCAACTCCCAGAATTCCTCAGCCAGCAAAGCTGGCTGAGGAATTCTGGGAATTGAAGTCCACAAGTCTTAAAGTGGCCAAGGTTGAGAACCCCTGCATCTACGTGTCTGCTATTTATTTTATTTTTTTTTAAAAAAGAATTTCTTTAAAAACTTAACCGTCCAAGATGTTCTATCTGATGGGCAACAGCCGGGACGCTCCGGAGACGAGGAAAACTGGGCCAGGAACGTGTTTTTTTCCTCTCCAACCGTTTTTTTCCCACCCCCCCCCCACCCCGCCCCCCAAAAAGAAAGACAGGAAAATACCTTTCTCGTCCACTGCCCGGTTGAGGTCGGTGTCCCACTCCACATCTTCCCATTTCCATCCGAGAGGACACTCCATTTCCTCCCTGGGCAAAACCTTCTCCCCGTTCTGGAAAAACAGAAGAATATCCAAGGAAATCCTCCTGACTCTCCTTTCCTGCACGTCGGAAGAAACGAGGGCTCCCGGGTGCTCTCCCGGCCGGACTGCTTTCCTACGGACGTTTTGTTAACCAAACTAGGTGACAGCATCAGGGCTAGTAGCCGGTCTGGAGACTCGCTAGCCAATGGACGAGCCGCTAGCGCTGGTGTTCCTTACCTTGGCTAATGGAATATCTGCAAGAAAAGAGCCAAGCTCTAGAGCCTCAAGTCGTCCTCCTCCTGTTGCTGCTGCTCTTCTCCTCCTGTCTCTTCTCTCCTCCTCCTCCTCCTACCCCTCTTGCTCCTCCTCTTGCTCCTCCTCCTCCCCCCTCCTCCTCCTCCTCTTCCCAAACTCCACTCCCTTCTAGCACTGGTGACGTTATCTAGTTGGGTCAGGAAACGTCTGCAAGAAAACCCCCAAGCTCAGAGAGCACCAAGGACCCCACAGTCCTAGTCCTCCTCCTCCTCCTCCTCCTCCTCCTCCTCCTCCTCCTCCTCCTCCTCCTCCTCCCTTCTAGCACGGATGATAGTCCCTAGTTGGGTCATGAAACATCTGCAAGAAAACCACCAAGCTCAGAGAGCACCAAGGACCCCACAGTCGTCGTCCTCCTCCTTCTCATCCTGCCCTTCCTCCCCTCCTCCTCCCTCTCTTCCTCTTCCTCCTGCTCATACTCCTGCTCCTCCTCCCCCTCCCAAACTCTATTCCCTTCTAGCACGGATGATGGTCCCTAGTTGGGTTATGAAACATCTCCAAGAAAATCACCCAGCTCAGAGAGCATCAAGGACCCCTCATTTCAACTACAAAAGTTCTCCTTTATAAGTCAGAAGAAAGCTGAGGAGAAGGAGATGCCATGATCCCTTAGAAGGAAATTTTCCTTCCCCACCCCAATCACACCAAAGAATTACACCTCACTCACTACATCTGTGTAGGCTTCGGCCATATGGATCCACTGGCCTCCTGGAAGCCGAACTTGGTTCTCAAAGACTTCCTCCACAAAGCTCATGTGACCGGCGTCCACGTCATGCAGGAGCCTGAGTGGTGTAGGAAGGGGGGGGGGAAATGACCGTGACTTCTCTTAACTTTTTTCTCTCGCCCTAATAAAGGAAGCCCTCCCAACCTCTTGGTCTCTGGAGAGTCTCAGATCCTCCAGGGCCTGGTGGGCCCAAAGGCGCTTTTTCCAAAAGGCAACTGGACGTTCTTGGGGTTTCCCCCCCCCCCAAATTTCCCTTCTCATCCAAGAAGCTTCTTCAGTTCTGGCTGAATGTGTTTACCTTCCTTCCGGTTATCTGATCGTTAGTACTCTCTCTGAGAGTCGTTGAGGCCACTTGGGGATTTATTTATTTATTTATTTATTTATGAGATTTATATACCGCTTTAAGTGCAAGCACTCTCTAAGCGGGGTACACCAGTAAGCAATGTATATATACATTTACATTGCCCCCAACAATCTGGGTCCTCATTTTACCTACCCCGGAAGGATGGAAGGCTGAGTCGACCTTGAGCTGGTGAGATTTGAACCGCTGACCTGCTGAACACAGTCAGCTAAAGTGGCCTGCAGTACTGCACTCGAACTGCTGCGCCACCTCGGATCTCTCTGTATCCTCAGAGTCACCGGAATCCGAGTGTAAACGGGTATGGAGCCTTCCCGGGACGGTTGAAAGGACTCTGTTGTAGAGAGGGAATACGTGGTGTTGTATCCTCCCCCTCTACAGAGAGACAGCCGCTCAATTTTGACCTAGGCGGTCTCTTTGACCCCTCTTTCAAACCAGCGGTCCTCTCTAGCCAGAATGCGGACTTTGGGGGTCTTCAAAAGAGTGACCTTTGTCTGTCTAAGGCAGGTGGACTGCTGAATTAGGGGACTGGAGGCTAAAACATACCATGAACGGTGGCTGGAATTGGGGAGGTCTAGTTTAGTGAAGAGAAGGATGAGGGGGGACATGATAGCAGCCTTCCAGTATCTCAGGGGCTGCCCCAAAGAAGAGGCAGTCAAGCTATTCTCCAAAGCACCAGGACAAGAAGCAACAGATGGAAACTCACCAAGGAGAGAAGCAACCAAGGAGAAATTTACTGACAGGGAGAACAATTAAGCAGTGGAACAACTTGCCTCCAGAAGTTGTGGATGCTTCATCACTGGAGGTTTTAAAGAAGAGATTGGACAGCCATTTGTCCGAAATGATACAGGGTTTCCTGCCTGAGCAGGGGGTTGGATTTGATGACCTCCAAGGTCCCTTCCAACATTATTATTATTATTATCATTCATCGCACAGTCAGCCAGATGTTCAGACTAGATTTGGCATTTTGTCTACCTATCGAGTCCTTACCCAGGACCTGGGATAGGCAGTTGTGGATGTTTGATGGTATTACAGGTATCGTCGCAGGATGGAAGCAGTTCCTAATAAGGCTGCCTTTTGCAATTGACTAATAGCGAATTTGTCAATGCCAATGAAAGTGTTCAAGTGGTGCTCCAGTTGTTTTGGGATTGCACCCAAGGAGCTTATGACTATTGGTACTACCCTTGCTTTCTATTATTATTATTATTATTATTATTATTATTATTATTATTATTATTATTATTCCTGTTACAGGCCCATACCCATCTGCACTCTGATTCAGGTGACTCTGGGGCTAGTGATAAGCCCCCAAGTGGGCCCAAGGACTCTCAGAGAGCTAACAACCCAATGTTGGAGCGCTAACGTCCAGATGACTGCAAAGAATATAAATCCTTCCATTCCCCACCAGTCAGAACTGAAGAAGCTTTTTGGATGAGGAGTGAAACGTCTTCAGGAAAAAAAAACCCAAGAAGGAGTAGAGTCTAGAAAGAGTGCAGAGAAGAGCAACAAAGATGATCAGGGGACTGGAGGCTAAAGCATACGAGGAACGGTTGCTGGAATTGGGGATGTCTAGTTTAATGAAGAGAAGGACGAGGGGGGACAGGATAGCAGCATTCTAGTATCTCAGGGGCTGCCCCAAAGAAGAGGGAGTCAAGCCATTCTCCAAGGCGCCTGAAGGCAGGACAAGAAGCAACGGATGGAAACTCATCAAGGAGAGAAGCAACCTGGAACTAAGGAGAAACTTCCTGACAGGGAGAACAATTAACCAGTGGAACTACCTGCCTCCAGAAGTTGTGAATGCTCCAACACTGGAAGTTTTTAAGAAGAGACTGGACAGCCACTTGACTGAAATGGTATATAGGGTTTCCTGCCTGAGCAGCGGGTTGGACTAGATGACCTCCAAGGTCCCTTCCAACTTTATCACTATTATTATTAAAGTCCAGTTGCCTTTGGGAAAAAGCACCTTTGAGTCTACCTCTTAACGTCCATCTCCATGCTGCAATGCCCACCAGATCATCCATCAAGGCATTCCCCATGGGGGGAATCTCTGAGGTGGTGGGGGGGGAGGAAGAACGATGGGATGCGGCTCTCCTGAGCTAGAAAGACTTAACCAAGGATGGCCCAAGGGATGGGAAGAGAGCCCGGAGTCTTCAACCTCCCGCCCACCGTCACTCACGTCTTCTCGGGGCTGACAAACCAGTCTCCAGCCCAGGCCCAACCGGTGGAAGGTCTGAAGGTGTCCTTGGGTAGCTTGATCTTGCCAGTGATGTCCGAATACTTGGGGTAGGTGAGACCGGTCGTTCCCCAGTTCCCAACCAACGCAAGCTTCGTTTGGTTTTCATACTACGACCCGAAGGAAGGAGAGAAACGGAGAAATCGGGGGTGAGCAAATGGGCAAATGGTCAGCGCGGACCCTCCTCCCGTCACGCAGTGCTTCAGACTGGTTGTGAAGATTGTGCTTTAGTCCGGCAAGATCCCTGTCTACAGGCAGGCACCAGTAAAGAAACTACTCTGAATAAATCCTCACTTTGTCGTCCCTGGTTCCTTGCCCCTGACTGCCGTTAGAGGGGAGCCATGAACTTGTTGGTGTGTGCAAGCTAAAATGAAACGTTGAGGGGTGGAATTCTACTCCATGCCATGGGCAGATTAACAATGTTTAATTAAGAATGATTGAGGCCACCAGAAGAACAAGAATCATAGCAGGAGGAGGAGAAGGAGGAGGACGAGGAGGAGGAGGAGGAGGAGAAGGAGGAAGAGAAGGAGGAGGAGAAGGAGGAGGAGAAGGAGGAGGAGGAGGAGGAGGAGGAGAAGGAGGAGGAGAAGGAGGAGGAGGAAGAGAAGGAGGAGGAGGAGAAGGAGGAGGAGGAGGAGGAGGAGGAGGAGGAGGAGAAGGAGAAGGAGGAGGAGAAGGAGGAAGAGAAGGAGGAGAAGAAGGAGAAGGAGGAAGAGGAGAAGGAGAAGAAGGAGAAGGAGGAGGAAGAGAAGGAGAAGGAGGAAGAGGAGAAGGAGAAGGAGAAGGAGGAGAAGGAGAAGGAGGAGGAGGAGGAGGAGGAAGAGAAGGAGAAGGAGAAGGAGGAGAAGGAAGAGAAGGAGGAGAAGGAGGAGAAGGAGAAGCAGGAGGAGGAGGAGGAGGAAGAGAAGGAGGAGGAGGAGAAGGAGGAGGAGGAGAAATGGTAGTAATAGTAGCTTCTCCGTCCAGGACTAGAAGCAGAAAGGTGTAAAGGAGAGTCGGAGCGTCAGGAACGGAACATTCCAGCCCTTTAGAGTTCCGGAGTGGAAGGGTCTCTGCCCCGTTCATGCTCCAGTGCAAAGGGGGGTCCACTCCTCTCCTCTTGCGTGGCAGGTGCCCCCAAAAGAACCAGCAACCCAGTTCTGGAGAACTTCCCTGTCCCAATTCCGTTAGAGAAGGTCAGACCTGACTCACCGTTTCAGCAAAGACAGACAGCCTCCCCTCGGCCGTCTGGTTGAACTCCTTCTCGTCCACAGCCAGCCCCAGCCACAGGCGGACCCGGATCTGGGCCGGGATCCTGGCACCCGCCACCTCTTCCTGTGGACACTAGGAAAGAGAGAGAGAGAGTGAGTGAGTGTGTGTGTGTGAGAGAGAGAGAGAGAGAGGGAGAGAGAGAAAGAGAGAGAGAGAGAGAGAGAGAAAGAAAGAGAGAGAGAGAGAAGGAAGGAAGGAAGGAAGGAAGGAAGGAAGGAAGGAAGGAAAGAAAGAAAGAAAGAAAGAAAGAAAGAAAGAAAGAAAGAAAGAAAGAAAGAAAGAAAGAAAGAAAGAAAGAAAGAAAGAAAGAAAGACCGGAGCTATTGGTGGGAGGCAGCCCTTGGCCATTCCTCCTTCAGATAGCCATAGCAACTGGAGTCAGTCAGGGTCAAGTGTCCAGTTGGCATTTCCAGAAAAAGAACTCCTGTGACTTGATTTTATAAAATAAAATAAAATAAAATAAAATATAAAATAAAATAAAATATAAAATTAAAATAAAATAATAAAATAAAATAAAATAATAAAATAAAATAATAAAATAATAACATAACATAACATAAAATAATAAAGTAAAGTAAAGTAAAAAATATAAAATAAAATAATAATAAAATAAAATAATAATTAAATTAAATTAAAATAATAAAATAAAATAAAATATAAAATAAAATATAAAAATAAAATAATAAAATAAAATAATAAAATAAAAAAAATAATAAAATAAAATAAAATAAAATAAAATAAAATAAAATAAATATCAAATAGGCCCAAGACAGCCCTGTGACTCCATCCAGCGCTATGCGTTCAGACTGCCCCAAACACTTTGGAGATCGCAACTCCCAAAAGAAAAAAATGTCGCTTAACTTCAAAGTACGTCTGCATCTCCTCCCCACCCCGATTAGAAAGTCAACATCCCGCCTGGCCCTGAGCAAACTTACTTTTAAGAATATGGTCTGGAGTTTCCCACAGTTCTTCCCGCAGCAGCTGGCTCCGTTGCGTGAGAAGAGGACTTCCCGGGCAGGCAGCCGGGCGTAAGCCACCCGCCGATCGCCTTGCAGCATCCAGATCACCACCTCCGGGAGGCTGTTCTGGGGCTGGCAAAGAAAGGGTTAACAGGTCTTAGGAAGAAGTGGTCTTGGGCCAGGAGAATCAGACCCGTGAGCTGAGTAGATCAAGGGGCAGAGTAGATCCCGGCCTCAGAAAAGGCCTTCACGGAATCCATCAAGAGAATCTCCTTCATAAAATGGGGAAAGTTGGGTTAGATCAGGGGTCTTCCAACTTGGCCCTTAGATGACTGGTGGACTTCAACTCCCAGAATTCCTCAGCCAGGTACGCTGGCTGAGGAATTCTGGGAGCTGAAGTCCACTCCTCTTAAAGTCTATATCAGGGGTCTTCCAACCTGGCCCTTTGATGACTGGCGGACTTCAACTCCCAGAATTCCTCAGCCAGACATGCTCGCTGAGGAATTCTGGGAGTTGAAGTGCCCTCCTCTTAAAGTCTATATCAGGGGTCTTCCAACCTGGCCCTTTGATGACTGGTGGACTTCAACTCCCAGAATTCCTCAGCCAGGTACGCTGGCTGAGGAATTCTGGGAGCTGAAGTCCGCTCCTCTTAAAGTCTATATCAGGGGTCTTCCAATCTGGCCCTTTGATGACTGGCGGACTTCAACTCCCAGAATTCCTCAGCTAGACATGCTCGCTGAGGAATTCTGGGAGTTGAAGTCCCCTCCTCTTAAAGTCTATATCAGGGGTCTTCCAACCTGGCCCTTTGATGACTGGTGGACTTCAACTCCCAGAATTCCTCAGCCAGGCACGCTGGTTGAGGAATTCTGGGAGTTGAAGTCTACTCCTCTTAAAGTCTATATCAGGGGTCTTCCAACTTGGCCCTTTGATGACTGGTGGACTTCAACTCCCAGAATTCCTCCGCCAGGCACGCTGGCTGAGGAATTCTGGGAGTTGAAGTCCACTCCTCGTAAAGTCTATATCAGGGGTCTTCCAACTGGCCCTTTGATGACTGGTGGACTTCAACTCCCAGAATTCCTCCGCCAGGCACGCTGGCTGAGGAATTCTGGGAGTTGAAGTCCACTCCTCTTAAAGTCTATATCAGGGGTCTTCCAACCTGGCCCTTTGATGACTGGCGGACTTCAACTCCCAGAATTCCTCAGCCAGACATGCTCGCTGAGGAATTCTGGGAGTTGAAGTCCCCTCCTCTTAAAGTCTATATCAGGGGTCTTCCAACCTGGCCCTTTGATGACTGGTGGACTTCAACTCCCAGAATTCCTCAGCCAGGCACGCTGGTTGAGGAATTCTGGGAGTTGAAGTCTACTCCTCTTAAAGTCTATATCAGGGGTCTTCCAACTTGGCCCTTTGATGACTGGTGGACTTCAACTCCCAGAATTCCTCCGCCAGGCACGCTGGCTGAGGAATTCTGGGAGTTGAAGTCCACTCCTCTTAAAGTCTATATCAGGGGTCTTCCAACTTGGCCTTTGATGACTGGTGGACTTCAACTCCCAGAATTCCTCAGCCAGGCATGCTGGCTGAGGAATTCTGGGAGTGAAGTCCACTCCTCTTAAAGTCTATATCAGGGGTCTTCAACTTGGCCCTTTTATGACTTGTGGACTTCAACTCCCAGAATTCCTCAGCCAGGCACGCGTGCCTGGCTGAGGAATTCTGGGAGTTGAAGTCCACCAGTCATCCAAGGGCCAAGTTGGAAGACCCCTGGCTTAGATGATGCTACTTTTGCTTGGACTCTCAGGTGCCTGCATGACGACACACAAGGAACAGGACAACTTGCCATGACCCACTCACCGTGGCCAGCTTGCCACGGCCAATTTGTGAAGGCCAACTCACCGCAGGCCAACTCAACTAGGGGACAATTCGCCACTGCCAACTTGCCAAAGGACAGCTCACTGCCGGACAATTCAACAATTCCAATTTCAGGATTTAAAATAGTTTCCAAAAGATCCCCAGTTTTGTCGTTCCTATTTCATTTGGTCGCCTCTTTGGCCTAGATTGCTCTCGTGAGTCTATCCCGCCCTTTCTTCGCTTATCATCCCAAAGGGGCTTTTTCAGGACTTCCTGGTTTTGCTTTGAAAAGAAACAGTGGCCTCAACCACGCTCTGAAAGGAGGCAAAGGACCGGCCGTCTGCAAGGAGGATAAATCCTTCTGTTCCCCACCATCCGGTCAGAATCAGAAGAAGCTTCTTGGACGAGAAGCGAAACCTCTTCAAAGGAAAAACAAGGAAATCCAGTTTGCTCCTGAAAAAGCAATCAGGACCTGGATGATAGTAATAGTAATAGTAGTAAAGTTGGAAGGGACCTTGGAGGTCATCTAGTCCAACCCCCTGCTCAGGCAGGTAACCCTACACCATTTCGGACAAATGGCTGTCCAGTCTCTTCTTAAAAACTTCCAGTGTTGGAGCATTTACTGCTTCTGGAAGCAGGTTGTTCCACTGGTTAATTGTTCTCACTGTCAGGAAGTTTCTCCTTAGTGCTAGGTTGTTTCTCTCCTTGGTTAGTTTCCATCCGTTGCTTCTTGTCCTGCCTTCAGGTGCTTTGGAAAATAGCTTAATTCCCTCTTCTTTATGGCAGCCCCTGAGATATTGGAACACTGCTATCATGTCCCCCCTTGTTCTTCTCTTTGTTAAACTAGACATCCCCAATTCTAGCAACCGTTCCTTATATGTTTTAGCCTTCTGATGGAGAAGCTCTGTGGAGATTTTGTTGGTCGGGCTTTCCCTAGACATAAACAAAATGGCTAAGGCAGTGGTGGCGAACCTATGGCCTGCGTGCCAGAGAGAGCACCCGGAGCCCTCTCTGTGGGCACGCGCGCCTCGCTCTTTGGCTAAGTTTTTGCAGGAAAAAGCCATTTCTCAAGCCAAAACAAGCTTCTGGAGCGAGCGCACTGTTTTCAGCTTTGAATTATATCAAACCTGACACCAGAAACAGACTAACACGTGACGTGAGTGCTGCATGTGTTGCTCTCAAACTTACCAAGTCTGAGCCAAGGTTAGACAAATGATCAGCATGCCTACAACAGCCCAAATCACCTTAACTGTTCCAAAGCACGCCAAATGCAAACTTTTGCCCTTCAACAAAAAGTTGTTTGTATCCTTGAAAGCTTTGTTATTGTGTTTTTCTTGTAAGGCAAAAGATGATAATGTATGAGTTGTTGTTTTTTCTAAACTAAAACCTCAGTATTCAGGTTAAATTGCCGTGTTGGCACTTTGCGGTAAAGAAGTGGGTTTTGTGGGTTGCCGTTTGGGCCCTCGGTCTCTCAAAGGTTCGCCATCACTGGGCTGAGGGATTCAGGGCAGGCAGAAGTCCCGGTTCCTCTCTGGGTGCCGAGAACTGGGCTCACCTCCTCCACCAGGGACTTAAGCCGAGAGAGCCAGTCTTCGGCCTGATCCAAAACCGCCTGCAGGTCGGAGTCTTCGTGCTTCATCTTCAAGGCCGCCTGGAGCATCTGGTTGAGGTTGGTGGTCCGGAAACGGTAGAGATATTGGTCCAGGTGGGTGCTGGTCGGCTTCTGGGTGACATCGGCCAGGGGCTGGCTGCGGGAGGAGGAGGGGGCGAGGGAAGGCCGGGTTAGTCTCATCCTAACCCATTAGGCTAATTAGCATTTCCCCCCTCTTCAAAACCAAAGGACACGTTGGGGCTGGTGGACACCCTCAAAGCTGACCCCGGCCAGAGCGGAGAAGAAGTCAAAGAAGCAGCAGGAGATCGGAAGAGGTGGAGAGACCCCCAGCCCAGAGAATTGCCAAGACACTCTTCCTCCTCCTCCTCCTCCTCTTCCTCCTCTTTCTCCTCCTCTTCCACCTCCTCCTTCTCCTCCTCCTCTTTCTCCTCCTCCTCCACTTCTTCTCTTCCTCATCCTCCTCTTCCTCTTCCTCTCTCCTCCTCCTCTTCCACCTCCTCTTCCTCCTCCTCTTCCTCTCTCCTCCTCCTCTTCCTTTCTCCTCCTCCTCTTCCTCTCTTCTCCTCCTCCTCTTCCTCCTCCTCTTCTTCCTCTTTCTCCTCTTCCACCTCTTCCTCTTCCTCCTCCTCCTCTTCCTCCTCCTCTTTCTCCTCCTCCTCTTCCACCTCTTCCTCCTCCTCTTCCTCTTCCTCTTCCTTTCTCCTCCTCCTCCTCCTCTTCCTCCTCCTCCTCTTCCTCTTCCTCTCTCCTCCTCCTCTTCCTTTCTCCTCCTCCTTTCTCCTCCTCCTCCTCTTCCTCCTCCTCTTCCTCTCTCCTCCTCCTCTTCCTTTCTCCTCCTCCTCTTCCTCTCTTCTCCTCCTCCTCCTCCTTCTCTTCCTCCTCCTATTTATAGTCCTATTCAATTGCATTGTAAGCCTAATTACCCATTTTCTCTATTTAATTCCTGTAATTTTAATAGAATAGAATAGAACAGAACAGAATAGAATAGAATAGAAAATATAGAATAGAATAGAATAGAATAGAATAGAATAGAATAGAATAGAATAGAATAGAATAATGATAGAATAGAATAGAATAGAATAGAATAGAATAGGAGAAGAGAATAATGATAGAATAGAATAGAATAGAATAGGAGAAGAGAATAATGATAGAATAGAATAGAATAGAATAGAATAGAATAGAATAGAATAGAATAGAAGAGAAGAGAAGAGAAGAGAAGAGAAGAGAATAATGATAGAATAGAATAGAAGAGAAGAGAATAGAAGAGAATAAGAGAAGAGAATAATGATAGAATAGAATAGAAGAGAAGAGAATAGAATAAGAGAAGAGAATAATGATAGAATAGAATAGAATAGAATAGAATAGAATAGAAGAGAAGAGAAGAGAAGAGAAGAGAAGAGAAGAGAAGAGAACGCAGAACAGGACAGGACAGGACAGAATCGTTCAAAGTTACAAAGGCACTTTAGAAAGTGACTTATGACCGTTTTTCACACTTACGACCGTTGCAGCATCCCTATGATCAACATTCAGACCCTTGGCAACTGACTCATCTTTATGATGGTCGCCGTGTCCCGGGGGGGTCACGGGATCCCCTTTTGTGACCTTCTGCAGGGATTCTCTTAACAACTGGCAAAGGAGGTCATAAAAGGAGGCAAAACATAGCAGCTGTCTCGCTTAATAACAGAAATTTGGGGCTCAGTCATGGTCGTAAGTCGAGCACTGCCGTAGAAAGCATAAACCCTGTTCCGAATATTGACCCCTGACCCCTGTTAGCTCTTCGGAGGTGAAACATTTGCCACAAGCCAAGACCAACAAACCGAGTTTGGCCCTTTGGCTAATGTGAGGGATGGGAGGAGGAGGAGGGAGGGTCTTTGGCTGGCCAAACGGAGAGGGCTTCTAGTCCTCTGGAGGCTCGTCTCCAGTTCAGCCCTTTGAAGGGAAAACAAACACTCTGTCCTTACACATAAGCACAAAATAACATTTTTGTGCTGGGTTATTTTCGGCTCTTGTGGAAACCCATCCTGTTTATTTGTCTTTCAACGAACTCCATCCAGAGAAACCCCCCAGGAACTTTTAACTTGCAGCAAGACCAGCCCCAGCCCCCCTGCCTTCCGCCCCCATCTTTCATTCCTGGAATGTGCTGCCGTTTCTCTACAGGGGGCTGGAATTTTACACATGCCCAAAGACCATGCGTTCATTTCTTCACACGCCCCTGTTTTGGGCTTAAATCATAGGGTGGGGGAGGTCAAAAAATGAAGGGAGGAAGGAGAAAGAAAGAAAGAAAGAAAGAAAGAAAGAAAGAAAGAAGGAAAGAAAGAAAGAAAGAAAGAGAGAGAGAGAAAGAAAGGAGAGAGAAAGAGAGAGAGAAAGAAAAAAGAAAGAGACAGAGAGAAAGAGAGAGAGAAAGAAGAGAGAGAGCGAAAGAAAGGAGAGAGAGAAAGAAAGAGAGAGAGAAAGAAAAAAGAAAGAGACAGAGAGAGAGAAAGAAAGAAAGGAGAAAGAAAGAAATAAAGAAAGAAGAAAGACAGAATGAAAAAAGAAAGAAAGAAAGAAAAGAGAAAGAGAGAGAAAGAAAAAAGAAAGAAAGAAAGAAAGAGACAGAGAGAGAGAGAGAAAGAAAAGAGAGAAAGAAAGGAGAGAGAGAAAGAAAGAAAAGAGAGAGAGAAAAAAAGAGAGAAAGAAAGAAAGAAAGAAAGAAAGAGAGAAAGAAAAAAGAAAGAGACAGAGAGAAAGAGAAAGAGAGAGAGAAAAAGAAAAAAGAGACAGAGAGAGAGAAAGAAAGAAGAGAGAGAAAGAAAGAGAGAGAGAAAGAAAGAAAGAAAGAAAGAAAGAAAGAAAGAAAGAAAGAAAGAAAGAAAGAAAGAAAGAAAGAAAGAGGGAGGCATCCGGAGAATGACTTCACAGAGGCTTTGAACCCAAAGGGGTCCAAACCATGAACTTGGGGAAGGGGAGGCTACCAGGAGACCCCACCCCACCCCGCGGCCAGAGAGAGGGCTCTTCCTGCCAGGCCAGCCCAGCCCTCAGCCGCACAAAGGGGCCATTGAGGCAGGCATGGACATTGATGACCTGCCTCCAGCCTCACCTTTTCAACCTGGGGGCCTTGGCTCAGTGCTCCCAGAGCAGCCTTCTTCGGCCCCAGGACCCACTCCAAGCTAAACAAACAAACTCATGGCAAACTCACCCAGAAGCCCCCCCCCCAGCCTGGCCACACACACACACACACACACACACACACACACACGCACGCACCCCGCACGCCTACCTGCAGTCCGTCATGAACTCATCCAGCATCTGAGCCACCAGGGTGTCCAAGGTGCTGGCAGAGCGCTGGGCTTTCCGGGCCAGGTGGACCAGCTCCAAGTTGGCAGCCTGCACCGGGCAGAGAGCGGAAGGGCACACAACGCTGAGGGAGGGGCCCACACCCGGCCCTGGCAGCCCTACCAGGGCACGGGGCAGCGGAAGGCGCCCGTGGATCCCGGACGGCGCCTTGCGCTGCACCCTTCAGGAGCCCCTGGTAGAAACACTGAGACCCCTTGGACCCTCCAACGGGGCACAATTAACCACGCCACCCACGAAAACCCAGGCTCGGCCTTGCTCCCACTGGCACGGCCTCCATCTTGACTTTTTTGACCCACTCTGTTAGACCTCCCCGTGCAACGTGTGGAACTAGGCTGCGGAGAAGCCAAACGTTTGGAACGGCTCCCCTCCAGAAGTTGTGGGTGCGCCACCGTTGGAGGTTTTCAAGAAAGAGACGGTCTGAAATGGTACAGGATCTCCCGCTTGAGCAGGGGGCTGGACTAGATGACCCCCAGGGTCCCTCCCAGCTCCGTCCTTCTGTAGTCCTGAGCCTTGGGACCGCTGCCCACCCCGCAGCTGAGCCTTAGAAGCTATCCTTCTTCGCTCCACAAACCCACATCAAGCCAGGTCGGCCCTCCGCGAGGATCCTGTCCCTTTGCTCCTTCGCTCGCGAGGACAGGATGGGCTCGGGCTACTTGCTGACCGAGACCGCCATCATCTGAGACCGTGGAGAAAGGAGAATCTCTTCCGGAAACAAACTGGGGGAGGCACGGGGGGGGGCTCCAAGGCTCGCCTTCCCAGCCCCGAGGACTCACCAGCCGGTCCGCAGCCGTGGCGAGTAGATTCTGGGCCTCGGTCCGGTGGCTGCTGTCTTCCCAGTAGGAGGAGAGGACCACTACGGGCTTCACGTTGCCCCAGGGAAGGTAGTAGTACTGACAGCCTGGGGATGGAGAAGGCAGAGAGGCCTGCGTCGTCTTACGACAGTCCCTTTAGTGACCGTTCAAAGTTACGACGGCACCGAAAATAGGACCCGTTTCAACACGGCCGTTGCAGGATTTCCCACAGCCACGTGATCAAAATGCAGAAGCTGGGCCACTGACTCATACTTATGACGGTTGCGGCCTCCCTTTTGTGACCTTCTGAGAAGCAACAGCAGATTGACTGACTTAACACCTGCAGGGGGTTCCCTTCAGAATTGTGACAAGAAAGGTCGTAAAATGGGGGGGGGAACTCATTTAACGAATGTTTAAACTTAGCGACAGAAATTCTGGGCTCACTCGTGGTCGTAAGGCGAGGACTTACTTGTATTTATTTATTAAATATCTACACCAGAGGTAGGCAACCTTGGCTCTTTTATGACTGGTGGACTTCAACTCCCAGAATTCCTGAGCCAGCCATGCTGAGGGGAAAGGGAGAGGTTTCCGTGCTGAGCCAGGCTGGCTCAGGAATTCTGGGGGTTGAAGTCCACCAGTCATAAAAGAGCCAAGGTTGCCTACCCCTTTATGACTCGTGGACTTCAACTCCCAGAATTCCTGAGCCAGCATGGCTCAGCATGGAAACCTATCCCTTTCTCCTCAGCGTGGCTGGCTCAGGAATTCTGGGAGTTGAAGTCCACCAGTCTTGAAGAGGCCATAGTTCCTCCATGCTGGCTCAGGAATTCTGGGAGTTGAAGTCCACGAGTCATAAAAGAGCCAAGGTTGCCTACCCCTGGCCTATACCATCAGTCTACAAACGAGAATAGTCCAAGAATCTCACCTCAGGAAATTAAATATAACATTTATCCTATGGCGACTCTAGAGAGCCATATTGTGGTGATTTTATCATGGCTTTACCGTAATTTAATATTTTATCTCATTTATACATGTATGTAAAGTGTGTGGACTTTATCTCATAAAGTCCACGCACTTTACATACGTGTATAGGCTCACCCATCTTCAAGTTGCCAAGGTGGACAAATATTGGACTATTAGATGTTGCTTCAGGCACCTCCCAGCCCCACAGTTCCACAAATGTGAACGGCGCCAGGAGAGATCCACAGTTTTAGGATTTTAAGATCTTCTCTTCCTCGGAGAAGACTAAGAAGGAAAGGCCGCTGTCAGCCAGAACTGCCATCCAGGAGTTAAAAGGTCAAAGGTCTGCAATTCCGTTCAGTGGTCAACTTGACCAGGGTGCCCAGCTCCTTCCTCACCATCAAAGACTGCCCGGCTGAACTGGGTGGTAGAGGCCAGCGGCAGGCAGGTGTTGTCAAACTTGTTTCCGTAGTTGCCGATGCTGACCTCAAACTGGACAGCATCACCCACGCCTTGCAGCATGGTGGCCGAGTAGAAGGCAGCGAAAAGATTGTACTTCCGCCGACGCAGGTATTTCTGAAAAAGACAGAGGAGAGAGAGAGAGAGAGAGAGAGAGAGAGAGAGAGAGAGAGAGACAGACAGACAGATAGATAGATAGATAGGTGGGTGGGTGAGTGGGTGGTAGGTAAGTAGACAGACAGACACAGATAGACAGACACACAGACAAATAGATAGATAGATAGATAGATAGATAGATAGATAGATAGATAGATAGATAGATAGATAGATAGATAGATAGATAGATAGATAGATAGAAGGCAGGCAGACACAGACAGACAGAAAGATGATAGATAGATAGATAGATAGATAGATAGATAGATAGATAGATAGAGACAGACAGACAGACACAGATAGACAGACACACAGACAAATAGATAGATAGATAGATAGATAGATAGATAGATAGATAGATAGATAGATAGATAGATAGATAGAGACAGAGAGACAGACAGACACAGATAGACAGACACACAGACAAATAGATAGATAGATAGATAGATAGAGACAGAGAGACAGACAGACACAGATAGACAGACACACAGACAAACAGATAGATAGATAGATAGATAGATAGATAGATAGATAGATAGATAGATAGATAGATAGATAGATAGATAGATAGATAGATAGATAGATAGATAGAAGGCAGGCAGGCAGACAGACACAGACAGACAGATAGATATAGACAGACAGACAGACAGACAGAAGACAGGCAGGCAGGAAGACAGACAGACAGATAGATAGAAGATAGATAGAAGATAGACAGACAGACATGTCTTAAAGTGGTCAAGTTTGAAGACCCCTGCCCTAGATGGTCCCCTTGAGGTCTCTCTAAGGATACGCCCCCCTTTCAGCGAAAAAATGAAGACGTCTATGGCTTCTTAACGACTCTCCCAAAGGAGGCAAATGACCAGCTGTCTGCAAGGAGTATAAATCCTTCCGTTCCCCACCCTCCAGTCAGAGCTGAAGAAGCTTCTTGGATGGGAAGCGAAACGTCTTCAGAGAAAACCCAGAAAGTCCAGCTGCCTGTTGAAAAAGCACCTTTGGGACAACCCTGACCTGAAGGACGAAGACTCTCCACAGACAGATGGCTTCAAAGCTTTACCTCCACCCTCAGGATGTCATCCGCAGGGATGTCTCCCAACTTCTGCTCAACGTGGTCTACCAGCCTGGTCTCCAGTTCCACCAGCAGTCTGCCACGATAAGCCACACCTTCTCCCTTGGGATGTAGGAATGAGCCTGTGAGAAGGTCCCCCTTCCCAAACCAACTCTTGCTTCCAACATGGCCGGCTGGAGGAAGCCAACTGCTTCTCGGGGGCTTCAGACCAGCTGCCCCGAAGAGTTGTCTCACCTTGCCAGTGTTGAGTTCTTCATAAGGGTCAGGAAATCCGGTGAACTCCCGGGGGCTGCCATAGAGGTTGATGTAACATGGCCCAAAGGTGGGCAGGAAGCCAAGACCATCATCCACTGTGGGAAGAGACCCATGAAGGTGGAACTATGGAAACCATTGTCTACCTGAAATAATCCATTTTGGAGTCTACCCAAATATTCTTCCACCGAAACAAGATTTTTTGGGGGGGGATCTTTTGGGCTGAAAGTTATAGAACGGAGAAGAAATCCTTGTGGTTTTTTTTCAAGCCATGACATTAAACTAGGGTGAAAACAGACGTGCTCGCAGTCTCTTCTCAGTTAGGATGTCACATCTACACAATGATCGCAGCCTTCTGGATTTCTAGCAATCAAAGCAAGGTGTCCACCTCCAGGGCTGCAGAAGGCTACCAGTGGGGAAACTCAATGACTACTCTCATGTTCTGTAGATACCTTCAGTAGTCCCACCCAATCAACCCCCCTTCCAGTGATAGTTTCAAGTATCACAATTCCACCCCCTTTCTTCTTTCTTCCGTCTGGATGGAGACTTCAGATAACTACCTGAAAGGCAAATACCCTGCTTTGTTATGATAAGGTCCTCTAGTGCTAACTCTTTGATGTTACAATAAACACACATTCAGCATTCAGCTCCTTGAAGTGTACTGAAGGAAGTGAGGGCCATAAAGCCCCTTTGTTCTCCCCCTTCTCTCCCTCTTATGGCAGAATCCAAAGAAGGCAGAATTGGGAGTTTCTATATTTGATAATTAAAGATGAAATATGATTGGATTCTGACACCAAATCAGTTTGCAGTCAACTGCCCAGATTTAGAAACTGTTTGGGCATGCTATATTTGCACAAAGATCCATCCTGCTCCATAAGTGTTTCTCAACCTTAGCAAGTGGAAGGTGGGTGGACTTCAACTCCCAGAATTCCCCAGCCAGCAAAGAGTTGAAGTTCACCCACCTTCCACTTGCCAAGGTTGAGAAACACTAAGTAAGCAAGAGAGATTGCAAGGTGGAGTGGGGGATTCTGGGAGTTGAAGTCCACCCACCTTCCACTTGCCAAGGTGGAGAAACACTGAGTAAGCAAGAGAGATTGCAAGGTGGACTGGGGAATTCTGGGAGTTGAAGTCCACCCACCTTCCACTTGCCAAGGTGGAGAAACACTGAGTAAGCAAGAGAGATTGCAAGGTGGACTGGGGAATTCTGGGAGTTGAAGTCCACCCACCTTCCACTTGCCAAGGTGGAGAAACACTGAGTAAGCAAGAGAGATTGCAAGGTGGAGTGGGGGATTCTGGGAGTTGAAGTCCCCCCCCAATCTTCAAAGCTGAGAACATTGAGCTGGAGAGATGGCAGGGGGAAAGGACACCCAGCCCCCTCCGTAAAAATGAACCCTACATCTTTCAGAGAGCTAGACGTGCACAATCACAGCACCTGAGGATTTAAAGCGGGATTACAGATCAAAGCAAATTGGACCATCTTCATCCCAAGTCACATGCCTTCCCCAACGGAGGCCACGTGCATTCATGCATTCAAGGGCTGGAATTTGATTTTAAATTCGTTTCAGAAACACACTGGGGGGGGGGAGAGAAAGAGAGAGTCATGCTAAGGACATACGGTCTGTCGCTTGGGAGAGTTTCGTAGCGGCCGGAAACTCATCTGAAGCACAAAGAAAGAGGGGGGGAGGGAAAAAGTGAGGTCCTTTTGGGTGGTGCAGCTAGGAGATAAGGGAGAGACAAGAGAGATAAGGGGTAAAAATGAAGAGGTGGTTTTTTAAAATTACAGGATAAAGGATGAGAGAGCTGGAAGGGGCCTTGGAGGTCTTCTAGTCCATCCTCCTGCTCAAGCAGGAGACCCTATACCATTTCAGACAGATGGCTGTCCAGTCTCTTCTTGAAGTCTGCTACATCAAGTTTCCATCCATTTGGTTCTTATCCTGCCTTCAGGGGCTTTGGAAAATAGGTTGACCCCCCTCTTTTTGGGGGCAGCCCCTCAAATATTGGAAGATGCTACTATGTCACCCTAGTCCTCTTTGTTATACTAGACCAGGGATAGGCAACCTTGGCTCTTTTATGACTGAAGGACTTCAACTCCCAGAATTCCTCAGCCAGCCTGGCTCAGCTTGGAAACCTCTCCCGTTCTCCTCAGCATGGCTGGCTCAGGAATTCTGGGAGCTGAAGTCCACGAGTCACAAAAGAGCCAAGGTGGCCTACCCCTGGACTAGACATACAGAATTCCTGCCACCGTTCTTCGTATGTTTTAGTGTCTAGTCCCCTGATCATCTTGGTTGCTCTTCTCTGCACTCGTTCCATCCTACTCCTTGGGAAGGACCTAGCCCAGCAAAAGTCAGCACCCAAATTGTAGAGGTCGCGACTCTGAATTAGAATAACATAGTTGGAAGGGACCTTGTAGGTCATCTAGTCCAACCCCCTGTCCAAGCAGGAGACCCTACACCATTTCTGACAGGTGCCAGTCCAGTCTCTTCTTTAAAGGCTCCAGTGATGAAGCACCAAAAACTTCCGAAGGCAAGCTAGAATAGAATAGAATAGAATAGAATAGAATAGAATAGAATAGAATAGAATAGAATAGAATAGAATAGAATAGAATAGATAAAATAATGAGAATAGAATAGAATAGAATAGAAATAAGGAAATAATAGAATAGAATAGAATAGAATAGAATAGAATAGAATAGAATAGAATAGAATAGAATAGAATAGAATAGAAATAAGGAAAGAATAGAATAGAATAGAATAGAATAGAATAGAATAGATAAAATAATGAGAATAGAATAGAATAGAAATAAGGAAAGAATAGAATAGAATAGAATAGAATAGAATAGAATAGAATAGAATAGAATAGAATAGAATAGATAAAATAATGAGAATAGAATAGAATAGAAATAAGGAAAGAATAGAATAGAATAGAATAGAATAGAATAGAATAGAATAGAATAGAATAGAATAGAATAGAATAGAAATAAGGAAAGAATAGAATAGAATAGAATAATGAGAATAGAATAGAAGCTGGAAGGGACCTTGGAGGTCTTCTAGTCCAGCCCCTCGCTCGAGCAGGAGAACCTATATACCATCTCAGACAGGTAACTGTCTAGCCCCGTGGTGGCAAACCTATGGCACGGGTGCCACAGGTGGCATGCAGAGCCCTTTATGTGGGCATGCATGCCGTTGCCCCAGTCCTAGGCCTTTAGCTGGGTTCTATCAAACCTTTTCGCTTTAGGCCTCGGCGGTCGTGTGCAAAAAAAAAAAAAAGGTTCAATGAATCAATCAATTTCAACTTCTCGCAGGAAAAAAAAAAGATCTTGCAAGGTTGGAATTGATTGATTGAACTTTTTAGTCCCACCCAGTTGCCGTGACCACCGCAGCCACGCCCACCCAATTGGCCACAGCCACCCAAATGGCCACAGCCACCAAATGGCCTACGCCCACCCGGCACCCGACGATACATAAGTGGGTTTTGGGTTGCAGTTTGGGCACTCAGTCTCTAAAAGGTTCGCCATCACTGGTCCAGTCTCTTCTTAAAAACCTCCAGTGATGGAGCGCCCACGATTTCTGGTGGCCAGCCGTCCCACTGGTTAGTCAATGCCGTGAACAGTGCAGGAAGAGTCTTGCCCTGGTCCTGCTGTAGTCTTCATGCCTGGCTCACCAGCCCTGAAGTGGACTAGAGAGCCCATCAGCCACGCCCTCTGACCTCCGGGGACCCTGAGGTTGGCTCACTCAGGCAACAGAAGACCCACCTGCCACCCTGCCAGGTAAGTCCAAGTCAGCCCAGGGATCGGGACCTCTCAACCTGCTCACCTTCCAGTTCTCCTCCGGGAGCGGAGATTTTGGACATGCAGAGGTAGCTGGTGCCAATGATGTCGTTGTGGGTGACGCGGTCCCTGCGATACAAAATGCTGGTGTTGACTGAAAGGCATTCGATCCAGTGACCCGCTAGAAATAATATTTTTCCACTAGGGTCAAAGTTTTTAACACAATCGGCAGCTCGGAAAATCTGAAACCGCTGCAAAATTCCAGGGAGGAGACGTTCTCCATCCCACTGCTGCCATCTAGTGTTCATTCAGTTTTTTTCAGCTGAGATGGGTACACTTGCTGGTGTACAAAAAAGGACCCCCCCCAACTTGCTCTTTGGGGGACAGATAGCCTGCCTCTGGAAAGAGGGGCTCTGTGGTGGGTTTGGAGGAAGCATTCAAGCTTGTTCAACAAACCATGGTTTTCAAATACTGCACGAAGTAGTAATGCCACCGTGGGCTCCTTGGCACTCTCTCAGCTTCGATGTTTTCTTGCAGATGTTTCATTACCCAACTAGGTAACATCCTCAGTGCTAGAAGGAAGGGACTGGGGTTTGTGGAGAGAAGGAGGAGGAGGGGGGGAGGAAGAGGAGGAGGAGGAGGAGGAGGACTATGGGGTCCCTGGTGCTCTCTGAGCTGGGTCCTTGCAGATGTTTCATTATCCAACTAGGTAACATTATCAGTGCTAGAGGAGGGGGAAGGGGAAGGGGAGGGGGAGGAGGAGGAGGAGGAGGAGGAGGAGGAGAAGGAGGTGGAGGTGGATGAAAAAGACTGTAGGGCCCTTAGTGCTCTCTGAGCTGGGTGGTTTCCTTGCAGATGTTTCATTATCCAACTAGGTAACATTATCAGTGCTAGAAGAGGAGGAGGAGGGGGAAGGGGAGGAGAAGGGGAAGGGGGAGGGGAGGGGAAGGGGAGGGGGAGGAGGACTGTGGGGTCCTTGGTGCTCTCTGAGCTTGTATGTTTTCTTGTAGACACTAGGTAACCTCCTCGGGGCTAGAAGGGAGGGGGGCTTACTCCCACTGGGCAGGGTCCCCAGGGTTTTCAGAGGTTTAAGAAACGGAGCAGGACTGAACTGCACCCCTCAGCTCAAAGAAAGCCCACCTGGCCCCTCTTCCCCATCCCCAAACTTGCAAACAGGGGGGTCGAGTTAGACACGACGGACCCAGGACGATCCGGGCGTTCGCCGAATCCTGGCTCCTTACTCACCAGTCCATGACGCGGATCCTCATCTTCTCACACATGGAGGGGAACTGCAGGGGAGGGCACAAGGAGGGGGGGAGTCAGAGAGGGGCTTCGAGGAGGGGGCCACGCCCAAAGGGCAGGGGGTCCGGTCGCTCACCATGGCGGGCAGCGTGATGGTCTGGTTCCACTGCGGATTGGCGTTCTTCTCCACAATCTTGCTGCAGAGCTGCTCGGAGGAAGGCAAGAGGCCCTGAGCAGAGCCCCCTCTCCTCGGGGGCCCCTCCCCCTCCCCAGCTCCCCCTCCCCACCTCCGGCAGGGGGGGTCCACAGGGGAAAAACACGGCGGGGAGTCCTCGGTGTACGACATTTCTATAGCTAAGCGAGACGGTGTTACGTGCGCTTTGCCCCATTTTATGACCTGCCTTGCCACGGTTCTTAAGCAAATCGCTGCAGTTGTTCGCTTAGTAACATGGTTGTTAAGTGAGACCGGCTTGTCAGACGGTCACAAAAGGGGATCCCAGGACCTTAATCGTCTTACTCGCTCTTCTCTGCACTTTTCCCAAAGTCTCAACCTCTTTTTTGTAACACGGTGACCAAAACGGGATGCCGTGTTCCAGATGGGGTCTTACTCTGGCTTTACTAAGCGGCACTAATACTTTGCGTGATTTGGATTGTATGTCTCTGTGTCTACCAGCAGGGATTGTGTTCACTTTTTTGGCTGCTGCCATTGGTGAGACTGGGGGGGGAGGGGGAGGCTGTTCAATCACAACACACACAGAGGACCTACCGTTTTCCCTGCAAAGGTCACCTCCACAAAGGGATCCACCAGGTTCTTCTTGTTGCTGTCAAAGCCGAAGATCTGCTTGACGCTGTCCATCACGGCATCATCCACTGGAACCATAAAAATCACAAGGTTGGGAGGGACCTGGCAGCAAGGACTGGGGAGGGGGCCAGGGGAGGTGAGGGTCAGCTTCCCAAGAAAGGAAGGAAGGAAGGAAGGAAGGAAGGAGGGAGGAAGGAAGGGGGAAGTAAGTGAGGGAGGAAGGAAGGAAGCAAGGAAGGAAGGAAGAAGGAGGGAGGAAGGAAGGGATGGAGGGATGGAAGAAGAGAGCAAGGAAGGAAGGAAGGAAGGAAGGAGGGAGGAAGGAAGGGATGGAGGGATGGAAGAAGAGAGCAAGGAAGGAAGGAAGGAAGGAGGGAGGAAGGAAGGGATGGAGGGATGGAAGAAGAGAGCAAGGAAGGAAGGAAGGAAGGAGGGAGGAAGGAAGGGATGGAGGGATGGAAGAAGAGAGCAAGGAAGGAAGGAAGGAAGGAAGGAGGGAGGAAGGAAGGGGGAAGTAAGTGAGGGAGGAAGGAAGGAAGCAAGGAAGGAAGGAAGAAGGAGGGAGGAAGGAAGGGATAGAGGGATGGAAGAAGAGAGCAAGGAAGGAAGGAAGGAAGGAGGGAGGAAGGAAGGGGGAAGTAAGTGAGGGAGGAAGGAAGGAAGGAAGGAAGGAGGAAGGGAGGAAGGAAGGAGGGAGGGAGAGAGGGGGGAGGGAGGAAGGATGGAAGGAAGAAGGAGGGAGGAAGGAAGGGAGGGAGGGAGGAAGAGAGCAAGTAAGGAAGGAGAGGGAGGGAGGGAGGAAAGAAGGAAGGAAGGAAGAAGGAGGGAGGAAGGGAGGGAGAGAGGGAGGGAGGGAACAAGGAAGGAAGGAGAGGGAGGAAGGAAGGAAGGAAGGAAGGAAGGAAGGAAGGAAGGAAGGAAGGAAGGAAGGAAGGAAGGAAGGAAGGAAGGAAGGAAGGACTAGTAAGTTAGAAGTGAGAAAAACAATCTGGACAGATCAGAGGCATCTGTCCAGTCAACTTTAGTCAGAGCCAACCGGAGGAGCTTCCTAACAGTTCTCAGACAAATAAAGAGTTGAGCATCTATTGTGTAAAGAAGTGGCTGCAAAGCTGCCCGTCCTCAGTGAGGACAACCCCTTACCCCCCCCCCCCCAGGGGCACCTGGAGGCTAGGGGAAGGAGGCTCCGGAGGTCTCTGAGACCCAGGGCCTCTAACCGGAAACTTCGCTTCTCTGCTGGAGAGCCTCTCCCTTCAGCCTCTCCCGCCAATAAATCTTGTTAAAGAAAACGGTCCGACCCAATCCGGGTCGGTCACCGGGATCGAGAGTCACATTCCGTTTGGGCCCAAACCGTTTGTGCTTGTTCTTACAGAAGGGACCCGGCCGCCATCAGAACCGGACGCCTTCCAGGCTGCTGAATAAGATGTCCCATCCTCCACCGCCGGGAGAAAGGGCCTTCGGCACTTTGCTTCCGTTACTGCACCCCATGAACCGTCTCCTCCCTCCACCTACCCACATCGTCCTCCGTGCCCTCCTCCCCCCCACCCACCCCCCACGCCCCCCCCCACTCACTCTGGGGCAGGTCTTCTGCTCGGTAGAGCTTGAGGGAGAAGTGGGCGCCCCTCAGGGCCACCCCGGGCAGCCTCAGGATGTTGCCCTCAATGTCTTCTTTCTCCTCCGCAGCTTCCTTCTTCTCCACCTGTGGAGAGGGCCGGGGGGGGGGGGGCGGGTGAAGCTCCTGCCTGCCTGCCTTTTAGGCCTTGGGACTGGGGTACCTGGAGGACCCCCTCCCTCCCCCTCCCCCTCCCCCTCGCTCCAGGTGGGCCTTTCCATCTTCTCAGACACACCTGGGACCCTCCTGCCTCCCTCTCTGGCCTTCCTGTCTGCTTGTTTCCCATCCTCCCAGCCCTGGTAATTACCCCAAGAAGAGGAGGAGGAGGAAGGGAGACGGAAGGGAGTATGAGGAGAAGAAGGAAGGGAGAGAAGGAGCAGGAGGGGGAGGAGGAAGAGGAGGAGGAGGAGGAGGAAGGGAGAGGGAAAGGAGAAGGAGGAAAGGGGAGGGGAAGGGGGAGGAAGAGGGGGAGGAAGAGGAGGGGAGGAGGAGGAGGAAGAGCAGAAGGAAGAAGAGGAGGAAGGAGGAAGGGAGAGGGAAGGGAGGGAGAGAAGGAACAGGAGGGAGAGGAGGAACAGGGGAGGAGGAGGGGGAGGGGGAGGAAGAGGAGGAGGAAGAAGAGGAGCAAGGGAGAGGGAAGGGAGGATGAGAAGGAGGAGGAAGGGAAAGAAGGAGTAGGAGGGAGAGGATGAAGAGGGGGAGGGGAGGAGGAGGAAGAAGAGGGGAGGAAGAGGAAGGAAGGGGGAAGAGGAGGGGCAGGAGGACTGTGGGGTCCTGGGTGCTCTCTGAGCTGGGTGGTTTCCTTGCAGACATTTCATGACCCAACTAGGGAACATCATCAGTGCTGGAAAGGAGTGGGTGGGGAGGAGGAGGAAGGGGAGGGGGGAGAGGAGGAGGAGGACTATGGGGTCCCTGGTGCTCTCTGAGCTGGCTTGTTTCCTTGCAGACCTTTCATGACCCAACCAGGTGACATCATCAAGGGCTAGAAACATGCGCCTGACAGACTGACGGACGATCCGCACAAGAGGCATCTTTTTGGGGGCGGGGATCCCCCCCTTTTGCAACTCTGACCGCCTCTGGCGCCAGTACTCACGGGGGCCTCATCCCCAGGACCCAGGACATACAAGCTGACTTTCAGGTAGCCTCGGGCCCCGACGGAGAAATCCTCCGGGTCGGAGAGCAGCAGCCATTTCCGGAGGAAGCAATGCCCTGGGGGAGGAGGAGGAGGAGGACACCTTAGTCACACCGACACCCCACAACTGATCAGACCCCACAACACGGACACCCCCGCCTGACCCGACGGAGGCCGACCGGGTCAAATGAGGGCATCGGCCCTGGGGATTTCATTCCACTAGCCGGAGCTGACTCTAGGGGGCGCTGCTCCTTTCAGGGCAAGTGACATTCCCGAGGTCACATGACCAGCGTGATGTCATGTGACCACAGAGCCCTCCCGCTGAAGGGTACTTATTCATCCAGGGGTTCTCAACCTTGGCCACTTTAAGACTTGTGGACTTCAACTCCCAGAATTCCTCAGCCAGCTTTGCTGGCTGAGGAATTCTGGGAGTTGAAGTCCACAAGTCTTAAAGTGGCCAAGGTTGAGAACCCCTGCAAGCTCATCCCATCCCAAGGCGCTGGGTCTCAAACGCGGGCTGCCCGTTTTCCAGTTGACAACCTCAGCATCTTAACCCCTGAGCCACCACAATGCCACACACACACACACACACACACACACACACACACACACAACACACACACACACACACACACACATCCCCCAAATACGTTTTAGGCTCCAAAGATTCGGGAAAGGCAGAGCTGCCGGCAACGAGCACCCAACCCAGACGTTCTTCAGCTACTCCCCGACTGACAACCACAATGGAAGCCAACGTCTCTGTTGCTAAATGAGACGTTGGCTAAATGAGCTTTGCCCCGTTTTATGGCCTTTCTTGCCCCGGTTCTTAAGCGAATCCCTGCGGCTCTTAAGTTAGTCAGACGGTCATTAAGCAAATCTAGCTTCCCCACTATTATTATTATTATGGATCATCGCACAGTCAGCCAGACGTTCAGACTGGATTTAGCATTTTGTCTACCTATCGAGTCCTTACCCATTATTATTATTATTATTATTATTATTATTATTATTATTATTATTATTATTATTCAATTTCCACTCACTGGGTTCAGCATAAATTGCCCCTACGTCCACCTGAAAGACAGAAGCACAAGGACCCTCAGACTGGCTCCCCAGAAGACCTCCCCCATCCTCACCACCCACCCAGGACACGCAATCGCCCCCCCCTTGTCAACGCTCCAACACTGGAAGTTTTGAAGAAGAGACCGGACAGCCCTTTTTCCGAAATGTTATAGTTCTTCTTGCCTGAGCAGGGGGTTGGACTAGATGACCTCTGGGGGTCCCTTCCAACTGTGTTATTCTGCCACGTTTCTGCAGATGAGAGGGGGGTGGGCGATTCCTTGCTTTTCCCTGTGACAGTGGGGCACACAGCACACCCACCAGGAAAGAGAGACCGTGAGAAAAAAAAAAGGGCTGATCAGGAAGGATGTGACTTACTCGGAATTCTCCAATGACAGAATCCGTCCGGAGAGAACGCGAGTCAACAACCTGGAAAGGACACACACACACATTAAAAAAAAGACCCCGAGCTTCCGCTGAAACAACGTGGCCTAAGATGCCAGCTGAGTCTTCTGCCTCTCGAGGGTCTGTCCCCAGGAGACAGTGTTTGGACCGAGACCCCAGCCCTCCGTGTCTGCGCCTGTGACCTTGCAAGATTTATGTATTAATAATTTATTTATTTGTACAATTTATATGCCGCCCAATCCCTAGGGACTCAGGGCGGCGTACAAAATTAAAACAATAAATATAGCAATTAAAAATGAGTGCATTCATACAACATGTCCCCATCGTGTCCCGGCCCCCCCCCCACCCCGGGGACGTCAACCCCAGGCCTGCCGGAACAGGAGAGTTTTAATGGCTTTCTTGAAGGCCGGCAAGGTGGGAGTAGTTCGAATCTCGGGGGGGGGAGTTGATTCCACCAGGTCGGAGCCACCACAGAAAAGGCCCTTCCCCAAGGGCCCGCCAGCCGACATTGTCTGGCCGACGGGACCTGAAGGAGGCCCAATCTGTGGGACCTCACCGGTCTCTGGGGACTATGCGGCAGTATGCGGCCCTGTAAGTAACCTGGTCCTAAGCCATGATGGGAGGGGATTTGGCAACACCCAAAGGGAGCTGGCTGGCCCTTATGCAAAAAGTACTAGGATAGAAAGTGGGAGACGGTGACTTCTAGCCCCACCCTAGCAACGAAAGATGGCTGGGCGACTTTGGGTCAATCACTAGGAAACAGGGAGTTATAGTTCTGCCTTAGGCACGAAAGCTGTCTGGGTGACTTTGGGCCAATCACCAGGAGATGGTGAGTTCTAGTCCCGCCTTAGGAATGAAAACCGACTGGGTGACTTTGGGCCAATGACCAGGAGACGGTGAGTTCTAGTCCCGCCTTAGGAATGAAAACCGACTGGGTGACTTTGGGCCAATCACCAGGAGACGGTGAGTTCTAGTCCTGCCTTAGGAATGAAAACCGACTGGGTGACTTTGGGCCAATCACCAGGAGACGGTGAGTTCTAGTCCCGCCTTAGGAATGAAAACCGACTGGGTGACTTTGGGCCAATCACCAGGAGACGGTGAGTTCTAGTCCCGCCTTAGGCAGGAAAGCCACTGGGTGACTTTTGGCCATTCACCTGGAGACGGTGAGTTCTAGTTCTGCCTTAGGCACGGAAGCCAGCTGTCTCAGCCCAACCGACTCACAAGGTTGCTATTGTGAGGAAATAGGAGGAAGAAAGTGTGTTGGCTCTATTGGCCACCGTCTTTTATAAAAATAAAGTGGGATGCAAATAAATCGACGGCAAACGAAACAGGGGGGAAAAACGTGAATTCTCACAGATGTGGAACACGCCTCCCCCAACGAATGAAAGTTGCAAAGGCCTCACATTGTGTCGGCCCCATGGGATCCGTGCATCTCGTGGGAACACGTCCCAGGGGACGTTCTCAGTGTAAGCCAAGGGGCGGACCCCCCCCCATCACTTACCATGATGAATATGGGCTGATCGAAAAGCTCCACGGGGGATTCAAAGACGTTGAAGAAAAAGGTCTGCGGGAGACAGACGGAGGAGTGAGGCTCAGCTGCACCCCAACTGCATTTCTACCGGGGAGCCCACCGCACAGGAAGAACCACAGGAAAAGGGGTCCTCAGCCCCTCCCCCAAAGTCACCCACGTTTTAAAAAGCCACCGGATGACTTGGAGCAATCCTCACAACCAGGGTTTACAGAGGGAACTCCTCCAGGGAGGCAGCCAACCCATTCAGGCACCCTGGTTGCATCCAGGTGACGCCCCGTGGCTGAACCTATGGCCCTGTTCTAACTAAATTCACCGCTTCTGGAGGCAGGTGGTTCCACTGGTTAATTGTTCTAACTCTAAGGAGAAACTTCCTGACAGTGAGAACAATTAACCAGTGGAACCGCCTGCCTCCAGAAGCGGTGAATGCTCCAATGCTGGAAGTGTTTAAGAAGAGATTGGACAGCCAGTTGTCTGAAATAGTATAGGTTTCCTGCCTGAGTAGGGGGTTGGACTAGATGACCTCCAAGGTGCCTTCCAACTTTATTATTATGGATCATCGCACAGTCAGCCAGATGTTCAGACTGGATTTGGCATTTTGTCTACCTATCGAGTCCTTACCCAGGATCTGGGATAGGCAGATGTGGATGTTTGATGGTATTACAGGTATCATCGCAGGATGGAAGCAGTTCCTAGTAAGGTCGCCTTTTGCAATTGACTAATAGCGAATTTGTCAATGCCAATGGTGTTCAAGTGGTGCTCCAGTTGTTTTGGGATTGCACCCAAGGCGCCTATGACTATTGGTACTACCCTTGCTTGCTTTTGCCACAGTCTTTCTATTTCTATTTATTATTATTATTAAAATGAAATTCAATGGAGAGAAAACTAAGGTTTTACACTTAGTCAAGAAAAACCAAAGGCGCAGGTGCCGATTAGGTGACACCTGCCTCAATAGCAGTAACTGTGAGAGGGAGTCCTAGTAGACCAGGGGTCTTCCAACTTGGCCCTTTGATGACGTGTGGACTTCAACTCCCAGAATTCCTCAGCCAGGCACACTGGCTGAGGAATTCTGGGAATTGGAGTCCACTCCTCTTAAAGTCTATATCAGGGGTCTTCCAACTCGGCCCTTTGATGACTTGTGGACTTCAACTCCCAGAATTCCTCAGCCAGGCACACGTGCCTGGCTGAGGAATTCTGGGAGCTGAAGTCCACAACTCATCAAAGGGACGAGTTGGAAGACCCCTGTCCTAACCCAAAGGATGAGGAGACCACGGGACTTTTTTTCTGGGGTTACTTCACGTCAGCTTCTCAACTCTCCAATCTCCATCGCGTGGAGAGTGAAATAAGCCCCCCTCTTTCTTCACCTCATCAAAAAAGGGGCCGTTTCCTTTCCGGATCCTGGTTCTCTTGGTCTGCCCCACGGCCGTGACCTTCACCACAGACTTGAGGTTGACCCCAGAGAGCTGCCTTCCTTCGATGACGCGGACCCGGATCTGGAGAGGTGAAGGGCAGGAGAAGGAAGAGAAGAGGACATCAAGGTCTCCTGAGCAGACAATTGGAGCCCACAGACTCTACCTGCCAGCCCCAGCCCCACCTCAAAGTAGAAAGGGAAGGAAGGACGGAGAAGGTCCAAAGGCTTAGAAGAGCCACCAAGCGTGGAACCGAACGCCTTGGAGTTCCCGTCATTCTGAGCCTGGGCTCCAAGTTGGATGTCTGCCTCTTTCTCTAACCAAAAATCTCCAGTATTTATCGCATTTATCGGATCCAACAGTCGAAAAGATCTGTAGCTCAGGGTTGAACTGGTTGCAGACATTTCATTACCCAACTAGGGAACATCATCCGTGCTAGAAGGGAGTGGTGTGTGTGGGGAGGGGGAGGAGGAGGAGGAGGAGGAGGAGGAGGAGGAGGAGGAGGAGGAGGAGGAGGAGGAGGAGGAGGAGGAGGAGGAGGAGACTGTGGGATCCTTCGTGCCCTCAACTTGGTGGTTTTCTTGCAGATGTTTCATGACCCAACTAGGTAACATCATCAGTGCTAGTAGGGAGAAGGAGGAGGAGGAGGAGGAGGAGGAGGAGGAGGAGGAGGAAGAGGAAGGAAGGAAGGAAGGAAGGAAGGAAGGAAGGAAGGAAGGAAGGAAGGAAGGAAGGAAGGAAAGACAGACTTTGGGGTCCTTGGTGCTCTCTGAGCTTGGTGGTTTTCTTGCAGATGTTTTATGACCCAACTAGGTAACATCATCAGTGCTAGAAGGGAGGAGGAGGAGGAAGAGGAAGGAAGAAAGGAAGGGAGGGAGGAAGGGAGGGAGGAAGGAAGGAAGGACAGACAGACTGTGGGGTCCTTCGTGCTCTCTCAGCTTGGTGGTTTTCTTGCAGACATTTCATAACCCAACTAAGTAACATCATCAGTGCTGGGGAGGGAGTTTTCTCATTGTTTATATACAGTAATTTGCCCTGCCAGTGTTGGTCCAGCTGTAGCATCCTTCTTGATAGTTCCTCCATGAGAGCCTTGTTTTCTCCCTGATGGTCTGGATCAAAGAACCACCAAGAACGGAACCTAGACCGTCCCCTAGTTGGCAGACGAACACACTGGTTGCACATCTGGATGGGTGCCTGTCCTTTTCACCCTCCGACACAAAGTCTCTAGCAATGTGTTCAGGGCTTCCAGCCACGCTGGACCACTGGAGCTCCAAGCAGGGGCAGATGGTCTCCACCAGCAGCGAGAGGCTCATCGCTTGAAGCCCGTTTGCCTCCTGTAACCCTCTTTAGATGAAGGGCAGAACCCCCCAACAGCTGGATGAAGGTCAGGACCTCCCAAGACCTGCCTGAAGGGTGTCCAAAGGTGGGCTTGAGGTTGCTCACCTGGAAATCCTGGGGCTTGTTGGAGAGCAGCTTCCGGGAAGTGCTCTTCCTTCTCTTACTCGCAGGAAGAACATGGGAGGGGGGCCTTTTGGGCAAGGGAGGCTGGTCAGGAGCCGAGGGTCTCGCGGAGGGCTCGGCTTCCTCTTCGACGCCCAGCTGGTCTTCACTCTCTTCTTCTCCCCCTGTGTCTGCAGGAGAAAGAGGCTCAGGGCGTTGAGTTTGCCCATCCGACTCCTCAGGACAGTTCGCCCTCGAAGCCCAGCCTCGCGAAAGGAGACCACGTTACTTCCCGTGGGATTAAATCTCTAAGAAGGGCCAGGAAGATTGTGACAAACTTCCGGGACTAAAAAAGGCCGGAAAAACAATTCAGATGGGAAAAAGAAATATTTCATATCAAACGGATTTAGGGTTTGATTTTAGGATATCGGATCTCCCTGAGCAGGAAAGATGAGAAGTTCTCCAAGGTCCCTTCCGACTCCGTCATTCTGTCGGTTCTGTTATTCTGTCATTCTGATAGTCTGATATTTTGGTATTCTATTATTCTGTTATTCCATTATTCTAATATTCTAATACTCTGGTATTCTCTTATTCTATTATTCTGGCATTTTATTATTCTGATATTCTGGTATTCTGATATTCTATTATTCTGATATTTTGATATTCTATTATTCTGATATTTTGATATTCTATTGTTCTGATATTCTATTATTCTGATATTCTGGTATTCTATTATTCTGATATTCTATTCTAATTCTGATATTCTGGTATTCTGATATTCTGGCATTCTGCTATTCTATTATTCTATCATTCTATTATTCTGGTATTCTATTATTCTATTGTTCTGATATTCTGATATTCTATTATTCTGTTATTCTGATATTCTGGCATTCTGATATTCTGATATTCTATCATTCTATTGTTCTGATATTCTGGTATTCTGATTAATGAAAACAGATCCATCACTGGATGTTAGCCATGATGGAACCTTAGTGAATTCCCTTCGGACTTTGATTCAGCTATCCAGCTTGTTTGCCCAGTTCAGACCTCCAAAAGATAAGCAAGGCCAGGGACACCACTGGGCATGGCCAGCTAGCTCAGAGGAAAGCAGAGGCAAAACACAAAAAAAAATCCCTCCGTCAACTTGTCCATGGAACGGCCACCGATGATCCCTTCCCAGGTCCGTTGCTTCGCTCCTGGTCCGGCCTTCGGGGTGGGACAGATTGCAAAGCATAAAGCAAGGAAGAACATTCAGAATCAAAAGGCAAAAAAATGCTTTATTCTGGTCACCACGATATAAAAAAAAGATGTTGAAGCTCTAGAAAGAGTGCAGAGAAGAGCAACAAAGATGATCAGGGGGGACTGGAGGCTAAAACATACAAGGAACGGTTGCTGGAATTGGATAGGGCTAGTCTAGAGAAAAGAAGGACTAGGGGTGACATGGTAGCAGTCTTCCAACAAATAATAATAATAATAATAATAATAGTAATAGTAATAATAAGAGGAAGAGGAAGAGGAAGAAGAAGAAGAAGAAGAAGAAGAAGAAGAAGAAGAAGAAGAAGAAGAAGAAGAAGAAGAAGAAGGAAGGGACCTTGGAGGTCATCTAGTCTGACCCCCTGCTCAGGCAGGAAACCCTATACCATTTCAGACGAATGGCTGTCCAGTTTCTTCTTGGGAGGGACTGCCATAAAGATGAGGGAGGTCAACCTATTCTCCAGAACCCCTGAAGGCAGGACAAGAAGCAACGGGTGGAAACTGATCAAGGAGAGAAGCAACCTGGAACTAAGGAACAATTTCCTGACAGTGAGAACAATTAACCAGTGGAACAACTTGCCACCAGAAATTGTGGATGCTCCAACACTGGACGTTTTTAAGAAGAGACTGGACAGCCATTTGTCTGGAATGGTATAAGGTTTCCTGCCGGAGCAGAGGGTTGGACTAGAAGACCTCCAAGGTCCCTTCTGTACTCTATTTGGCAAGGTCTGCCCTGGGACAGAGTTGGTTCACCTCCTTACCTGTCACCGTGTCCAGCTCAGGAAGAGTCGGATTTGGCTCCGGGGGGGCTGGAGGAGGGATGAAAGGAGCTGCCCCCGGCGGTGGCGTGTAGGAGACTTGGAGAATCAGACACCCCTGCAAAATTGGATGAAGAACGTCAACCAAAAGGATGCTGCCTCCAAAGCTGGCTTAGCTGCAGATGCTTGGACAACCTGATTAGGCAAGGCCTCTTTAAAGCAGCTGCTTCTTTATTCAGGCCGATGCGGCTGCATTAAAGGGATCCTCTGCCTGAATTCCCCCCACACGACTCCCATCTGGTGAGGGTTCTTATTATTTAGGCCCGGCACCGCACAGATAGGAAAGCCGTTGTAATCACAACTTCCCACCCTTTCAGGTTAGTTAACGAGTTAACCGCCACACCCCATATCTGATCTTAAGTTGAAAGCAAAAATCATACGCAATCCCCATTCCTCATGAAAACAGTGGCCAGGGAGGAGACGGAGGGGGTCTACATCCGCCCTTAAAATGGAACAGGGAGTGACCTAGGAGCGGTCACAATTATGGGGTGTAACATAGTATAAGAGGTCCTTCCACGAATCTTGGACCCAGGCAGTGAATATGAATTAAAATCAATCCTTGCTCAGGGCCCTTCTAGATGCTCTCTAGAACAGCATTCCTCGACCTTGGCCACTTGAAGATGGGTGGACTTCAACTCCCAGAATTCCCCAGCCAGCAAAGCCAGAATTCTGGGAGATGAAGTCCACCCATCTTCAAGCCGCCAAGGTTGAGAAGCACGCCAATCTTTCTGGCTGGGGAATTCTGGGACTTGAAGTCCACCCATCTTCAAGCAGCCAAGATGGAGAAATGCTGCATTCAGGTTTTCTTCCACCACCCACTTTCTCACCTGGCCCAACTGCATCCCCCATAACTCCGGGGAGACCCAGGCCCAGTTTGGCACGCTGCCCCCAGCCTCTTCACTCCGGAGCACTGTTCCTCCCCCTTGAAGACGGGTGGACGTTCAACTCCCAGGATTCTGCAGCTCGCTCCACCATCAGCAAAGGGTGCTTTTCCTTCCCACCGCGGGCCAGGAGGGCCCCCCCCCTTCGCCCCCAAAGTGGACTTACCCCCGTGTTTTGCCTCTGGGCATCCAGCAAAGGAGCGTTGAAGCTGGCAGCCAGATTGGGGGAGGCCAAGACATCCCGGAGGGCCACGTGGGCTTCACCCAGGAACCTGTCAGAGACGGAGTTGCTGCATGTGAGTTGGGCTGCTATATGAATAATAATAATAATAATAATAATAATAATAATAATAATAATGAGGAGGAGGAGGAGGAGGAGGAGGGGAGGAGGAGGAGGAGGAGGAGGAGGAGGAGGAGAAGAAGAAGAAGAAGAAGAAGAAGAAGAAGAAGAAGAAGAAGAAGAAGAAGAAGAAGAAGAAGAAGAAGAAGAAGAAGAAGAAAGTTGGAAGGGAACTTGGAGGTCATCTAGTCCAACCCCCTGCTCAGGCAGGAAACCCTATACCATTTAGGATAAAGGGCTGTCCAGTCTCTTCTTAAAAACCTCCAGTGTTGGAGCATTCACCGCTTCTGGAGGCAGATGGTTCCACTGGTTAATTGTTGTCACTGTCAGGAAGTTTCTCCTTAGTTCCAGGTTGCTTCTCTCCTTGATGAGTTTCCATCTGTTGCTTCTTGTTCTGCCTTCTGGGGCTTTGGAGAATAGCTTGACTCCCTCTTCTTTGGGGCAGCCCCTGAGATACTGGAAGACTGCTATCCTGTCCCCCCTTGTCCTTCTCTTCATTCAACTAGACATTACCAATTCCAGCTGCCATTCCTCGTGTGTTTTAGCCTCCAGTCCCCTGATCATCTTTGTTGCTCTTCTCTGCACTCTTTCTAGAGTCTTAGCATCTTTTTTACATCGTGGTGACCAACTGAATGCCGTATTCCAAGTGTGGCCTTACCAAGGCCTTGTAAAGTGGTATTAATACTTCACGTGATCTTGATTCTATCCCTCTGTTAATGCAGCCCAGCACTGAGTTGGCCTTTTTGGCAGCTGCAGCACACGGCTGGCTCCTGTTTAAAGGATTGTCTACTAGGACTCTGAGATCCCCGTCACAGTTGCTACTAATGAGCAAGGTACCAAAGAAGCAGCGCAAGGTTGGAAGAGGCAGAGAGACCCCCTGGCCCAGAGAATTGCCAAGTATCAGACAAAACTGAATGGATAATATCATCATCATCATCATCCACTTGTTAAATAAATAAATAAATAAATAAATAAAAGTAGAGCACCCCAATGCAAAAAAGATGTTGAGACTTTGGAAAAGTGCAGAGAAGAGCAACTCAGATTATTTCAAGGCCCGGAGACTTAAAACCTATGAAGAACGGTTGCAGGAATTGGGTACAACTAGTCTAGAGAAAAGAAGGACCAGGGGGGACATGATAGCAGCCTTCCAGTATCTCAGGGGGTGCCCCAAAGAAGAGGGAATCAAGGTCTTCTCCAAAGCCCTTGAAGGCAGGACAAGAAGCAACGGGTGGCAACTCATCAAGGAGAGAAGCAACCTGGAATTAAGGAAAAACTTCCTCACTGTGAGGACGAGAAGTTGAGGGCGTTTTAACGCTGGAGGTTTTTAAGAAGAGACTGGACAACTATTTGTCTGAAATGGTTGAGGGTCTCCTGCTTGTGCAAGGGGTTGGACTAGAAGACCTCCAAGGTCCCTTCCAGCTCTATTTTGATTGATTAGTGGGAAAGCAATCGCTCTATCAGGAGGACCAAAGCATCTCAACAGGGTTGAGCTAAGCCTTCCATCGGATCAGTGTTTACAATTAAGAAGTAACTGTTTACATTTGGAGCAATATCCTTTTCCTCTAAACACAAACACTGCCCAGCAGCAACACAACTGTATTCCTGTCATGCAAGCTATCACGGGCAAAGTGTTTTGTTTATATGGAGGGGTGAGAATTCACCAAGAATTATTAATTCTCCCAAGAATTACTTCACAGGCTTCCCAATAGAGCAGACTACTATAAAGCTACATTGATAGCATCTTACAAGTTTATTTATTTAGCATCTGGCATCTACAGAAGTTGTGCAATGAATAGGATAGGATAGGATAGGATAGGATAGGATAGGATAGGATAGGATAGGATAGGATAGGATAGGATAGGGTAGGGTAGGGTAGGGTAGGGTAGGGTAGGGTACGGCAGAGTAGAGTAGAGTAGAATAGAATAGAATAGAATAGAATAGAATAGAATAGAATAGAATAGAATAGAATAGAATAGAATAGAATAGAATAGAATAGAATAGATATATAGAATAGAATAGAATAGAATAGAATAGAATAGAATAGAATAGAATAGAATAGAATAGAATAGAATAGAATAGCAGGCTACTATAAAGCTACATTGATAACATCTTATAAGTTTATTTAGCATCTGGCATCTACAGAAGTTGTGCAATAGAATAGAATAGAATAGAATAGAACAGAACAGAACAGAACAGAACAGAACAGAATAGAATAGAAAATATAGAAAATATATAGAATAGAATAGAATAGAATAGAATAAATAGAATAGAATAGAATAGAATAGAATAGAATAGAATAGAATAGAATAGAATAGAATAGAATAGAATAGAATAGAATAGAAAATGAAATAATGAATAGAATGGAATGGAACTGACTACTTTATTTTGCCAAGTGTGATTAGACACATAAGGAATTTGTCTCCGGTGCAGATCACTGATAAACAAATCCCAGGTAGCCCTCAATTTACGACCACAATTAAGCCCAAAATTTCTGTTAAGGGAGACATTTGCAAGGGGAGTGACTGAGCGCCTCAATCTCGATCTTGTGTCCCTGGTGATGCTGCAGTGGACATAAGTGTGAAAACGGTCAGAAGTTGCTTTTTTCAGTGACACTGTATCTTCTCTCAACGTCTCAACGGAATCCCATAAATAGCCATTCCCGAAGGGGGAACTAACCTGGACAGGAAAGGTGACATTTTTCCAAGACGGAGACTCACAAGCCCTGATTCAGACTGGCTTTTAAAAAGGAAGGGGGAAAAAACAGTCCTGCAGGACAGCCTGTCAACTCAGCTCACGTCCCACCCGAGCCGGCTGTCCGTGCCCAGGGGAGCCTTCTGGCTGGGACACTCACAAGACTCTTGGGTCTGCCTGGGGTCACTTCCCCTCGCGTTTCCCGGCATTGTTCAGCAGAGACGGCCGTTTTTCTCCCTGAAATCCTCTTCCTGTTCTCAACTCTGGAAGGACCGGCCTTGTTCCAGGATCTTCCAAGGAATGTGCCAAGCCAGGATCACCCATGCTGAACCCCAGAGAGCAGGAGAAGGGGACCCCCCAGCACCCCCAGCCAGCCAGCCCCTGGACCTTTTGGCACCTGGCTGACTCTTGCAACAGGTCAAGCAAACGTCAAAGCGGCAGTGAAAACGTAGCTCGGGGTTGAAATGAGGGGTCCTTGGTGCTGAGTTGGGTGGCTTTCTTGCAAGCATCTCATGACCCAACTAGGTTGCACCATCAGTGCTAGAAGGGAGTGGGGTTTGTGGAGAGGAAGAGCGGGGAGGAGGGGGCAAGGAAGAGGACTGTGAGGTCCTTGATGCTCTCTGAGCATGGCTGCTTTTGTGCAGATGTTTTATTACCCAAGTAGGGAACAACATCAGTGCTACGAGGGAGGGAGGGAGGGAGGGAGGGAGGGAGGGAGGAGGAGGAGGAGGAGGAGGAGGAAGAGGAGGAGGAGGAGGAGGAGGAGGAGGAGGAGGAGGAGGAGGAGGAGGAGGAGGAGGAGGAAAACTGCCGGATTCTTGGTGCTGAACTTTGTTGTTTTCTTGCAGACGTTTTATGACCCAACTAAGGAACATCATCAGTAGTATTCTGGGTCTGGGCAACAAAAAATTATCTACCGGTTCTGCCGAAGTGGTGCAAACTGGCTGAATCCCACCACTGCACTGTTGTTCTATTTTAACCTTTGATTGTGCACCACCCGAGTCCCTCTTGGAGGGAGATGGAGGGTTCAAAAATGGGAAAAACAAATAATAAACAAACAAACAAACATCTTGGACAGGGGCCACCTTCCAAATTCCCCAGGGCTCGGCTAAGTCCTTCTCTTGCTGGGTATATTTGCTTCGTCTTGTGGGCCAGCCAGCTATTTTTAAGCACCCATCTAGTTCAGGGGTAGGCCACCTCGGCTCTTTTATGGCTTGTGGACTTCAACTCCCAGAATTCCTGAGCCAGCAGGGCTCAGCTTGGAAACCTCTCCCTTTCCCCTCAGCATGGCTGGCTCAGGAATTCTGGGAGTTGAAGTCCACGGGTCATAAAAGAGCCAAGGTTGCCTCACTGTGGCCTAGGCCTAGGCTGCTTTATGACTCGTGGACTTCAACTCCCAGAATTCCTGAGCCAGCCATGCTGAGGGGACAGGGAGAGTTTCCAAGCTGAGCCAGGCTGGCTCAGGAATTCTGGGAGTTGAAGTCCACGAATCATAAAGCGGCCTAGGCCTAGTGCAGGGGTAGCAACCTTGGCTCTTTTATGACTCATGGACTTCAACTCCCAGAATTCCTGAGGCAGCCTGGCTCAGCTAGGAAACCTCTCCCTTTCCCCTCAGCATGGCTGGCTCAGGAATTCTGGGAGTTGAAGTCCACCAGTCATAAAAGAGCCATGGTTGCCTACCTCTGGCCTAGGACCAGGCCGCTTTATGACTTGCGGACTTCAACTCCCAGAATTCCTGAGCCAGCCTGGCTCAGCTTGGAAACCTCTCCATTTCCCCTCAGCATGGCTGGCTCAGGAATTCTGGGAGTTGAAGTCCACAAGTCATAAAAGAGCCCAGGTTGCCTATCCCTGGTCTAGGCAGCTGTTGGTGGGTTCTCCCCACACCCAGAATTTGCCAGGGGTGCCACAGGCATCGCCTTTGAAGCGACGGGGCATTATTCTTACCCTGGGGTGGGCTTCTCCCGAAAGGAGGCAGGGGGGCCTTGGCTGATCCGCTGGCACCCTGCCTTGCACAGTCCAGGGCTCACGCGATCACATTTTGAGACCTTATGACAAGCAAAGTCCAGAATGGTCTGCAGGCTGAACAACGGCTCCAAGAGCCTTGAAATACATCGTCCTAAGCAGGTCAGGCAGCTACTAGCCAGAGGAGTGCCCTCTGCACATGCTCAAGAGGCGGTATTTTCAAAACAAGAAGCAGACCGTCCAACACGCACTAGGACAGTGGTTCTCCACCTGTGGGTCGGGACCCCATTTGGGGTCGAACGACCATTTCACGGGGGTCGCCAAACAACGCAGTCCGCCATTTTTTCCCCCTTTTCCTTAGCTGTGCTACTCCCTTTTATTCTATTGGCTTTTGAAAGCCAATAGAATAGCCTCTCTTGCATAGAGTCTAATTCTATTGGCTTTCAAAAGCCAATAGGAATTATCCAGGCTGTCTCTGCCCTGCTGAGCCCGCCAAAAGTCCCAGTCTGCAAACGGTGCTGCAACAGTTGAGTAGTCCTCGACTTACGACCAGTTGGGGGTCGCGGCATTAAAAAGGTTGAGAACCACTGCTCTAGGACAAAGTGAGAAAGAACCAGCTAATAAACTCTGCAAAGCACAGGAAAAAAAACCCCGTAAATTGATATCTTGGTGTTCGCCATATTGACTTTTTTTTTTGTAACACGCATACACACACACCCATACCGAGACATTCCTGGGTGCCCCACCTGTTTCTGCCCATGGTTTCGTGATCCTTGACCACCACATGAAGCTCCGCATTGTGGTCCAATGGAAGTCCTTTCAGGTCCCACTCGAATCCCTAAGAGACGGCGGGAAAAACGTTGGAAAGAGCTTCAAAAGAGAAATTGAATTTCTGTTCCAAAGTAGGATGTTCATCTATTGATTGAATGATTGATTGAATGATTGATTGAACGATTGATTAAACGATTGATTGATTGAATGATGGATTATTGAATGATTGATTGAAAGATTGGTTGATTTAGCATATGCTGAACCAAATCCACCCCATAAGACCTGGTCAATCCTCAATAGAGTTAGGACTCACCGTGGAAAAGAAGGACCAGGGATGACATGATAGCAGTCTTCCAGTATCTCAGGGGCTGCCCCAAAGAAGAGGCAGTCAAGCTGTTCTCCAAAGCACCCGAAGGCAGGACAAGAAGCAACGGATGAAAACTAACCAAGGAGAGAAGCAAGCTGGAATTGAGGAAAAACTTCCTAACAGTGAGGACAATTGATCAATGGAACGAGAAGTTGTGGGCGTTTCACCGCTGGAGGTTGTGGACCCCTGCTCAGGCAGGAGACCCCATACCATTTCAGACAGGTGGCTGTCCAGTCTCTTGTTAAAAGCCTCTGGTGATGGAGCACCCACAACTTCTGTCCCTGGAGATTTTTAAGACGAGACTAGACACGCACATGTCTGAAATGGTATAGGTTCTCCTGCTTGAGCAGGGGGCTGGACTAGAAGACCTCCAAGGTCCTTCCCAGCTCTATTCTATTCTGTTCTGTTCTGTTCTGTATTCTGCTCTATTCTATTCCTATTCCATTTTCTATTCGATTTTCTATTCTATTCTATTCCACTTTCTATTCTATTTTCTATTCCATTTTCCATTCTTTTCTATTCCATTTTCTATTCTATTCTATTCTATTCTATTCTATTCTATTCTATTCTATTCTATTCTATTCTATTCTATTCTATTCTGTATTCTCCTCTATTCCTATTCCATATTCTATTCTATTCTATTCTATTCTATTCTATTCTATTCTATTCTATTCTATTCTATTCTATTCTATTCTATTCCTTATTCTATTCTATTCCATATTCTATTCTATTCTATTTTCTATTCTATTGTATTCCATTTTCTATTCCGTTTTCTATTCCATTCTCTATTCTATTCTATTCAGGTTGCTTCTCTCCTTGATGAGTTTCCATCCGTTGCTTCTTGTCCTGCCTTCTGGTGCTTTGGAGAATAAGGTGACCACCACCCCCCTTGCTCCTCTTCTTGGGGGCAGCCCCTCAAATATTGAAAGGCTGCTTATCATGTCACCTCAAGAAGCCGGCATTTCAGTTCAGCAAAAGCAGCATGGATGGTGCCCTACGCAGCTTCAGACAAAGCTTTCTGTCCCCACCAATTTCCTTCTCCTCCCCCCTCCCTCCAAGGAAATCCAATCAACATCCCAGTTTCCTACTCGTAAGAGGATGTGTGATAAACAGACACTCTTGTCAGGGCGTGATATTGCAAAAGGAAACCCTAATTTAGTTCTAAAGGCTTATGTCTTTATTTAAGGGCGAAGTGAGAATGAAGAGGAAGGGATGATAAAGAGAGGAAGCTGATCATTCTGGCTTCCCTACGGGAACAGAAACTGACATCCGGAGTATCTAGAAAGCTATTAAGTCGTCCCAAACGACATCCAGCTGTCACATTTCATAAATATTCCCTACATAATGAACGGCAGTTCAGGGGAGGGAACCCTTTCGGTTTACAAAACGGTAAAAACCACTTTACCTACAGCTCACGTCCTACTACAGGTAGTCCCCGACCGTTCACGACCGTTCGTTTAGTGACCGTTCAAAGTTACTTAGGGAAAAAGTCACTTATGGCTGTTTTTCACACTTACAACCGACGCAGCCTCCCGAGGGTCCCGGGATCTAAATTCGGAGGCTTTGGCAACTGACTCGTATTTACGACGGTTGTTGCAGTGTCCCGGAGTCACGTGATCCCCGCTTGCGACCTTCTGACAAGGGAGATCAATGGGGGAGCCGGATTCACTTAACAGCCAAGTTACTAACTTAACAACTAGAGAGTGGTTCATTTAACAACTCTAGCAAGAAAGGCCGTAAATTGGGGCAAAATTCACTTTAACAACTGTCGCTATTGGCAGCAGAAATTTTGGGCTTAATTGTGGTCATAAGTCGAAGACTGCCTGCCTACTATAATTTTCTATAAGGACCCAGGGACCCTTTTCGTCAGCCCCTCACCTGACGAGACGCTCAGGAAACATCCATCATTTTACGTACAATTTCCTAAAATGTACCTAAATTGTGTTATGCTGTCTGCAAAATTAGGAAGGCTTTGACTGGCTGCTGAAAGTCCCACCACTAATTGTAATATATTATTATTATTAATTATTATTATTATTATTATTACTACTACTATTACTATTACTATTTTTTCTAGTTCTGCTCTGTGCTCGTAATCAATATTATTATTGTTGTTATTATTATTATTATTACTACCACTATTATTATTACTATTATTACTACTACTATTATTATTGCTATTATTACTATTATTATTACTACTATTGTTGCTTATTTCTAGTTCTGCTCTGTGCCCATAATCAATATTATTGTTATTGTTGTTGTTATTATTATTATTACTGCCACTATTACTATTATTACTACTATTATTACTACCACTATTATTATTATTGCTTCATTTCTATTTCTGCTCTGTGTCCATAATCAATATTGTTATTATTACTATTATTACTATTATTATTACTACCACTATTATTATTACTACTACTATTGCTATTATTACTATTATTACTACCACTATTATTATTATTATTGCTTCTTATTTCTAGTTCTGCTGTGCCCATAATCAATATTATTATTACTATTAGTTCCCATCCTCAAAAAAGGAAAAAAAATGGATCCAGGAAATTACAGACCTATCAGCCTGACCTCAATACCTGGGAAGATCCTGGAAAAGATAATCAAACAACGAATCAACGAACACCTAGAGGCAAACAAAGTCATTACTAAAAGCCAACATGGGTTTGTCAAAAATAGATCATGCCAGACAAATCTTATTGCATTCTTTGACCAAATGACAAAATTAGTGGATCAGAGGAATGCTGGGGACATAATTTACTTGGACTTCAGTAAGGCATTTGATAAAGTAGATCACAACCTACTACTTGACAAGATAGAAAAATGTGGGGTAGACAGAACCACCACAAGATGGATCCGTAGCTGGCTGACCGGCCGTACTCAGCGAGTGGTCCTCAATGGAACTGCATCTATATGGAGGGAAGTGTGTAGTGGGGTGCCCCAGGGCTCGGTTCTGGGCCCAGTACTCTTCAACATCTTCATCAACGATTTGGATGAAGGGATAGATGGGGAACTCATCAAATTTGCAGATGACACCAAGCTGGCAGGAATAGACAACACTCCAGAAGACAGGCTTCAGGTACAGAAGGATCTGGACAGACTTGAACACTGGGCACTAACTAACAAAATGAAATTCAATGGTGAAAAAAGCAAGGTTCTACATTTAGGCAAGAAAAAACAAATGCACAAGTACAGCATAGGTGGCACCATGCTCAATAGTAGTAACTGTGAGAGGGACCTCGGAGTCCTAGTAGACAATCAGTTAAATATGAGCCAGCAGGGTGCGGCAGCTGCCAAAAAGGCCAACACAGTACTAGGCTGCATTAACAGAGGGATAGAATCAAGATCACGCGAAGTATTAATACCACTCTTCAATGCCTTGGTAAGGCCACACTTGGAATACTGCATCCAGTTTGGTCACCATGATGTAAAAAAGATGTTGAGACTCTAGAAAGAGTACAGAGAAGAGCAACAAAGATGATTAGGGGACTGGAGGCTAAAACATATAAGGAACGGTTGCTAGAATTGGGTATGTCTAGTTTAACGAAGAGAAGGACAAGGGGGGACATGATCGCAGTATTCCAATATCTCAGGGGCTGCCATAAAGAAGAGGGAATTAAGCTATTTTCCAAAGCACCTGAAGGCAGGACAAGAAGCAACGGGTGGAAACTAATCAAGGAGAGAAGCAACTAGAACTAAGGAGAAACTTCCTGACAGTGAGAACAATTAATCAGTGGAACAGCTTGCCTCCAGAAGCAGTAAGTGCTCCAACACTGGAAGTTTTTAAGAAGAGACTGGACAGCCATTTGTCCGAAATGGTGTAGGGTTTCCTGCCCGAGCAGGGGGTTGGACTAGATGACCTCCAAGGTCCCTTCCAACTTTACTATTATTATTATTATTATTATTATTATTATTGCTACCACTATTGTTACTATTACTACTATTATTGCTATTATTACTACCACTATTATTACTATTATTATTGCTTATTTCTAGTTCTGCTGTGCCCATAATCAATATTATTATTACTATTATTATTGCTACCACTATTGTTACTATTACTACTATTATTGCTATTATTACTACTATTATTACTATCACTATTATTATTACTATTATTATTGCTTCTTATTTCTAGTTCTGCTCTGTGCCCATAATCAAAATTGTTATTAACCATTTGGGCCTCCTTCTCCCTGCCCAAAGGGGGGGGGGCTGCTGCTTAATCGGCCACCCAGAGGAAGGAGGACAGACTTTGCACATGTTGAGATCTGGATTCGAATGGCGCTGAAGACAGACTCACCTCGTTCCACACAGGGTTGGTGTTGTTCTTGATCACCTTTGTTCTCTTTTTCACTCCTAAAAGGAAGCAGAGTGAGCGAGTGAGCAAGGCTGCCCAGATGAACACCCCCCAAGGAAGCTGGTTTCCAAAATATCCCTGCAGGCGAAAATCAGGGCGGGGGGGGGGGAGTCAGAGCAAAGGATTCCGTTCATACGCTGGTTGGGCCTGACTCTCTTCATGACCGTTTGATTCTTCTGATCCCAATTGCGGTTATAAGTCGAGGATTATCTGGGCAAATCCCCATAGCACCACATGTCCACAAAAGTTGACACCAGGGAGAAAGCAGCAATCCCAAAAACACTGACAGAGAAACAAATAGACACAAATAGAGAGCAGATCACACACCCTCCTTGCACTGATGATGTTGCCTAGTTTGGTCATGAAACATCTGCAGGAAAACCATCCAGCTCAGAGAGCACCAAAGGCCCCATAATTCTTTCCTCCCTCACCACTCCCTTCTAGCACTGATGATGTTACCTAGTTGGGTCATGAAACGTGTGCAAAGAAACCACCCAGCTTAGAGAGCACCAAGGACCCCACAGTTCTCCTCCTCCTCCTCCTCCTCCCTTATAGCCCTGATTATGTTTCCTAGTTGGGTCATGAAACGTCTGCAAGAAAACCAGCAAGCTCAGAAAACACCAAGGACCCTATAGTCCTCCTCCTCCTCCTCCTCCTCCTCCTCCTCCTCCTCCTCCTCCTACCTTCTAGCCCTGATGATGTTACCTAGTTGGGTCATGAAACGTCTGCAAGAAAACCACCAAGTTCAGAGAGCATCAAGTACCCAACAGTCATTCTCCTCCTCCTCCTCCTCCTCCTCCTCCTCCTCCTCCTCCTCCTCCTCCTCCTCCTCCTCCTTCTAGCCCTGATGATGTTACCTAGTTGGGTCATGAAATGTCTGCAAGAAAACCACCAAGTTCAGAGAGCATCAAGTACCCAACAGTCATTCTCCTCCTCCTCCTCCTCCTCCTCCTCCTCCTCCTCCTCCTCCTCCTCCTCCTCCCTTCTAGCCCTGATGATGTTACCTAGTTGGGTCATGAAACGTCTGCAAGAAAACCACCAAGCTTAGAGAGCATCAAGGACCCCATAGTCATCGTCCTCCTCCTCCATTGCCTAATTGGTAATGAAATGTCTGCAAGAAAACCACCAAGCTCAACCCTAACCTTAACCCTAACCCCTTGGTCCTTTCTTTTCTCTAGACTGGCCATTCCCAAATCTTGCAACCATCCTTCCTTTGTAGGTTTTAATCTCCAGGCCTTTAATATCATCTGAGTTGCTCTTCTCTGCCCTTTTCCCAGCCAAACTGGATGCAGTAGTCCAGCCTCCTGGAAGCCCTGGGGTTCCAGGTGGAATCTGGACGGTCAAACTAGCTTGGTCTGGATTGGAAACCGGAGCTCCGAGAGGGTTAACAGGGCGCATTTGGCAGTTGCTCCAAATTCTATCTTGGGCTGCTCTTGCGTGTGGGATATTTCCTTCTGTCAGCCCATAAATTAAGCAAAGCCGCCAGCTCTGGCCGAAGGAGCAGGCAGAGCCCGTTGGAGGTTGGGCAAAGGAGCCTGGCAAGGGCCGGGCGCTGCTCGAACACCCAAACGGAAAAGGAAGTGACTCCTAAAAGCAGGACCCCAGAACAATAGGAGGGTCCCCAGGGCCAAAGGCTGGCGGAAGGTCCATCTGGGGCAGCTGCGGCCGGACCCCTCCCTCCCTCCTCCTTCCTCCTCACCCCCCCCCATCTCCTCCCAGTCCAGCAGCTGAACTGAATGCAGCTATATATGGTCACTCTGCAGCCTTTTCCCAGAAGAGACGCAGGGAAACGTTTTTTGAAAAAGATCTGCAGGGCGTATTTCTAGAAAACAAAGGAGGCGTATAAATCCAACTGATCATCAGCATCTGCCTATTAGCATGCAAAGGCTAAGCTCAGTGAGGTGCAAGATGGGTGGCCAATCCATTTAATTCATAACTAATAAACATATCGGGGACCTTGGAAGTCTTCTAGTCCAACCCCCGCTGCTGTTATAAAAAAAAAGTTACTTTTTATGGTACACCGAGTTATTTATTTCATTTTTCAAAAAAAAACCTGGACACTTTCTTTTTTACTCAGGATAATTGCACGGCGTTTTTGTCTTCGTTCTCCTTCTCCAGGGTCCGTGGCTGCTGTTTCTACCTTTAGGCCGGTCAAAGACTATAATGCAATTTTGATCCAGCCAGGCAGGGAGGCGTCTGCCCAGCCTTGCCAAAGAGGCTGGGAGCAAAAAATAGAGGTGCCCCCATTTAGCTGAGGGTCCCTATTTTCATCCAGGGGGAGGAGGGGGAGACAGGATTCTTCTCATTCTTCCTCCCCCCCCCCGCCCACCCCAGACTCTCACGCAGCTGAAGCTGCAATCCGCATTTCTGAATCTCGGGTTCCTGCCGGGCAAAGAGCAGCATCGCACAGAATTCTCCCCGGGAAAATGGGCTTGGGGGTCTGTGAAGGAAGGAAGGAGGCCCTGGAGGCAGTGGAAGAGATGGTCGGCGAACTGAGCACCTGCCAGGCTCAACACCTGTCTCAGGTGTGCATATGGGTGTGAAGACAGGCCAATGGGACATGGGACGAGGTGCTGTTAAAACCAGAGACTTGGATTATTTTAATAAACTATGCTGAAGTTAGTTGAGAGTTTACATGAACACATATACTTTCTTCCTTTCCTTTCCTCTTTCTTTTTCTTTCTTTCTTCCTTCCTTCTTTTTTCTTTTTTCTTCTTCCTTTTTTCTCCTTCCTTCCTTTTTTCCTTCCTTTCTTTCTTCTTCCTCCCTTCCTTCCTCCTCTTTCCTTCCTTCTCTCCTTCTCTTCCTTCTTTCTTTCTCTTCCTTTCTTTCTTTCTCTTTTTCTTTCTTCTCTCTCTCTCTCTCTCTCTCTCTCTCTCTCTCTCTCTCTCACAAACACACACAAAGAGAGAGAGTATTTCACATCTTAGAGCTGCAGCAAGCAACTTCTTCCCTCTACAATCTTAATTTTTCTAGCGGAAATCAGCCTGGTCATTTTCACATTCCCTTCGCTATCAAGGGAGTCATCTTTTTAAAAAGACCAATCAGGCACATAATGGGAGGAAATTGACACCGATTCATCAGAAAACTAGTTGAGGGCCATGCCCGCCTCACCCCCCCCCCATTCCCTGAAGAAGAGAAAGGTTGCTATTTTGAACTCCTCTTCCTGGAAAAACATCGGCTCCCTCTCTTGAATGGACAAAAATTAAATACCTGTTTTTCCCTTTCTTTGGACTTTCCTAAGCTAAACTGTCAACTGGCTTTCACCCCAAAAGAAGGGGCTCCTGCAAAAACCCCTAAGAAGCAATGAACAAGTGAGGAGAGAGCCTCCCTGGAAGGAAACTTGCAATGCTCAGGAAGGGGGGTGGACAGGAAGACCCCCCACCCCCAAAAAGACCATCAATTGTACTGCAGAGGAAAGCATGTGGAACCAGGCAAAAACATCCTGGTCCATCCAGGGAAGTGACCATCAGCCAAGGATACCCATCTTTGAAGGTTTGGTGAGACGGTTATTGCTGTTCCATCATTTCCTGGTTTAATAATCATAATAATCATAATAAAGTTGGAAGGGACCTTGGAGGTCATCTAATCCAACCCCCTGCTCAGGCAGGAAACCCTATACCATTTCAGGCAAATGGCTGTCCAGTTTCTTCTTAAAAACGTCCAGTGTTGGAGTATTCACCGCTTCTGGAGGCAGGTTGTTCCACTGATTAATTGTTCTCACTGTCAGGAAGTTTCTCCTTAGTTCTAGGTTGCTTCTCTCCTTGGTGAGTTTCCATCCGTTGCTTCTTGTCCTGCCTTCAGGCGCTTTGGACAACAGCTTGACTCCCTCTTCTTTGGGGCAGCCCCTGAGATACTGAACACTGCTATCCTGTCCCCCCTCATCCTTGTCTTCATTAAACTGGACATCCCCAATTCCAGCAGCCATTCCTTATATGTTTTAGCCTCCAGTCCCCTAATCATCTTTGTTGCTCTTCTCTGCACCCTTTCTAGAGTCTCTTTTTTACATCGTGGTGACCAAAACTGGATGCAGTTTCTCTCTGATCAGATGACTGTCCAGTCTTCTAGACTGGCCTCCTGGAACCGTCCCTAGGAGACCTTCTCCTTTCCTGCTTGCATCTTCAGAGGTAGGAGCCATGACCCCCCTTTTTGGCATTGGGGTCTTCTTCAATCACATCTTCCCACGAAGTGCCCCAAATATTTCAGATAAGTGTCATGCTTGACTCGCTATGCTTCCCCCCCCCTACACACACCACACAAGCAGACAGCAGAAACAGGGAGGGGGGCGAGTAGATTTGGAATGCAAGGGTGGGAACTGTGGAATGCAAGAGCCGAATGTCGCCTGGCAAAGTCCTGGAGCCCAAGGTCAAAAAATGGGGAAGTTCCAAGGCGTTCAGTTCATTTCCCAAAACAAATTGACTATAATTGAATGGTGGACAATGAACAACGGGGGGGGGGCAGGGGAGAAAAAGAGGATTTTTAACTATACTACTTCAAAAACTTCAAAATGTGGTAAAATAATGTCCCAGGAGTTTCTTTGGCTGCATCATAGGCCAATGGGACGGTGGGCAATAAGACTGGCAATAATGGAAATAATGAAAACCAATCCAGGAGAGAAGCAACCTGGAACTAAGGAGAAACCTCCTGACAGTGAGAACAATTAACCAGTGGAACTGCTTGCCACCAGAAGCTGTGGATGCTCCAACACTGGAGGTTTTTAAGAAGAGACTGGACAGCCATTTGTCCGAAATGGTATAGGGTTTCCTGCCTGAGCAGGGGGTTGGACTAGATGACCTCCAAGGTCCCTTCCAACTTTATTATTATTGATCATCGCACAGTCAGCCAGATATTCAGACTGGATTTGGCATTTTGACTACCTATCGAGTCCTTACCCAGGACCTGGGATAGGCAAATGTGGATGTTTGATGATATTACAGATATCGTCGCAGGATGGAAGCAATTCCTAGTAAGGCCGCCTTTTGCAATTGACTAATAGCGAATTTGTCAATGCCAGTGGTGTTCAAGTGGTGCTCCAGTTGTTTTGGGATTGCACCCAAGGAGCCTATTACTATTGGTACTACCCTTGCTTGCCTTTGCCACAGTCTTTCTATTTCTATTTGTAGGTCTTTGTATTTTGTTATCTTCTCCAGTTCTTTCTCCTCTATTCTGCTGTCTCCAGGCACTGCCACGTCCACTATCCAGACTTTTTTGTCTTTCTTATCGACAATTATTAAGTCTGGGGTGTTATGTTGCAGGTGATTATTATTATTATTATTATTATTATTATTATTATTATTATTATGCTCCTGGGGAACAGGCTGGTTTTAGACTATTGTTTGCATCATTCGTGGGTGTCTGCAAAGGGGGGGGTGTCCAAAAAAGCATGTTGCGTGCCACAGCCATGCAATGGAAGCCCTATTTATTGGTGCTTTGATCCCACAGCCATTGCTGCCCTCTTGACTTTTTTTGACCGCCTGTAGACGCCTCTAATATTGCAAAATTATTTGGGCTTCTGTTCTCGGTAAATTTCCTCAGCCCCAGAATTAAAGGCCACAGTTCTTCCTTAGTCTTTCTGTTCGTGCAGCTGTCACAACTACATGTTACACGCGGACAATCAAAGCTAGACGAGATCCCCTGGGCTGGGTGTCCCTGAGATTTTTCTGCACTTCAGAGAAAAAGCATCCCTGTGAATTTTTGAGCGGTCGGATGCAAAAAAAAAATTCTACTCTTCCAGCCTTCTCTCCAGTGAGGTGTCTTGGTGTCTTGACACCTTCTTCATTTCTGCTCCAAACCTGTTTATGTCTGCATTTAAATTCAGATTTCTCTTTTAAAACAGGAGGTGTGAAGAAATGGTTTCCAAAAAAAGAAAAATCTAATTCCACTCGTCTTGCGTTGATCATCAGGGAAAAGCTTTAGCTTTTCTGCCCCTGTTGAATGGTTGCCTGTCTGACTTTGGTTAAAGAGCTGTGTCAGGGAGGGACCGAGGGAAGTCTCTCTGGTGAAGGGAACCCCAGAGGGGCTGGCTAGCCTGGGTGTGGCTGCCGGTGATTCGAGCAAGCGAGCCAAGCCGCAGGGGAAACCAGAGCTGGCATAACATTTGGTCCTCCTCGCGCAAGGCCAGGAATCCTGCACGGGATCCAGACGTGACACACACACACACACAAATACACACCCAGCCTCATTTCAATGTTTTCTGGAGCTCATTTGTCCCAGCCAGCTTCTACGCCAAGAATGGAAGGGGAACATCTCTGCCATCCTTGCTCTGAGGTCGTTCTCCAGGGATTCCTACTCTGAGCAAGCCTCAGCAGCCTCTGAAGCCCAGGAAACAAGGGAGGAGAACCAGGGGTCTCCCCAGGATCCTGAGCTGAAGCCCCCAGAGAAAAAGAAAGATCTAGCCTTGGGGGGGGGGGTCTGGTGGTGGCGGAGACCACAGAGCAAAGCTCCTTCGGCAAAATGCACTCCCTCGTTGTCTCTCTGGGAGCTGCTAGATTCACAGTGTTTCTCAACCTTGACCATTTTAAGGCATGTGGACTTCAACTCCCAGAATTCCACAGCCAGCAATGCTGGCTGTGGAATTCTGGGCGTTGAAGTCCACATGCCTTAAAATGGTCAAGGTTGAGAAACACTGTCAGCTAGAACCATCTCTGCCTTCCTTCTGGTAAATCACACACTGCTTTCCATCCGTTTCTCCTAACAGACCCTCAAAATCCACCTTGCGGTAACTGAAGCCCCTTGCCCTAACTGGACCATCCTGTTTTGTAGGCTGTAGGTAGCCTCCACAGGGCACAGTTTTAAAAAAAATCAACAGGGCGACGTGCGTAAAAAGAGCTTTGATGGCCACACCACGGTTACTCTCTTGGCCTTTTTGACCAGACCCCGGAGGAGAGAGGGGGTATGGACTCTGTCAGGGTGAGGGCTCCATAAATCCATCAAAGATACCAGCACAACTGCACCTGCTGCACGCCCGCCTGCAGCTCTCTAGAAGGACCATGGGGCACAGCCTTTGGGTGGCAGCATTCTTGGGACAATTCTTTGAAGCAGAGGAGGGAGGAGGAGGAGGAAGAGGAGGAGGAGGAGGAGGAAGAGAAGAAGAGGAAGAAGGAAAGAGAGAAAAAAGAAGGAAGAAGAAGGAAGAAGAAGAAGAAGAAGAAGAAGAAGAAGAAGAAGAAGAAGAAGAGGAGGAGGAGGAGGAGGAGGAGGAGGAGGAGGAAGAAGGGAAGAAGGAGGAGGAGAGGGGAAGGAAAGAAGGAAGAAGAAGAAGAAGGAAGAAGAAGAAGAAGAAGAAGAAGAAGAAGAAGAAGAGGAGGAGGAGGAGAGGAAGAAGGAAAGAGGGAAAAAAGAAGGAAGAAGAAGAGGAGGAGGAGGAGAGGAAGAAGGAAAGGGGAAGAAGAAGGAAGAGGAAAAATGAAGAGGAGGAGGAAAGAGGAAAAAAGGAAGAAGAAGAAGAGGAGGAGGAGGAGGGGGGGAAGAAGGAAAGAGGGAAAAAAGGAAGAAGGAAGAAGAAGAAGAGGAGGAGGAGGAGGAGGAGGAGAGGAAGGAGGAAAGGGGAAGAAGAAGGAAGAGGAAAAATGAAGAGGAGGAGAGGAAGAAGGAAAGAGGAAAAAAGGAAGAAGAAGAAGAGGAAGAAGAGGAAGAAGAAGAAGAAGAAGAAGAAGAGGAGGAGGAGGAGGAGGAGGAGGAGGAGGAGGAGGAGGAGGAGGAGGAGGAGGAGGAGGAGGAGAGGGGGAGGGGGAGGAGGAAGACACCAGGCACAACTCCACTGCTCTGCCCATTGTAGAGGGAGCAGCCTCTGTCCCAGAGTGGGAAATTCTTACTTCTTCTCCTTACTATCTCCTTCTCCTTACTATCAGCTGCTCTCACCCTCCCATCTTTCCAAAGCACAGGCAAAACAGGATATATATGGATGGATGGATTGATTGAACAAGTGATTGATTTTATTTAAAACATTTATATAGCTGCCCAAGTCCCAACCGACTCTGGGCCGCTCCCAATCAAAAGTCAGAGCAGCCTGTAAAAATCACATCACAGCTACAACAACTCAACAGATTAAAAGATCAAAAACAACGCGGAGCTAGCGCCAAATCAAAGTTCTCGACGGACGGATTGACAGGCCTGTCACCCAATTCAGCCACCTGGGAGCCCTCCGCACCAGCTGGAATGCCATTCCTCCCACCCTCCCCGCTCAGCAGGGCCATTGGGAGGGATGATGGGCTTTGGAGTCCAGCCATTCCAGAGGGGCCCGATGGAACGCACCGCAATACAGCCCGGAGAGAAGGCAGCGGGGGGGGGGGCTGGCTGGTTCCTGCCCGTCCCAAGCCAGCCGGCCCCGTCCCGGAGAAGGACAGAGTCCCCCCCCCAGGACCCCCGGAGCAGCCTCCGCGGTTGCTGCGGGGCCAAGACTCACCTCGGAAAGTCAGGCTGGCCACCGGGTCGCTCCGCTTATCGCCCCGCTCTAAGCAGGGCAGGCTGCAGGCGCGCTGGAGCAGGCAGCGGAGCATGGTTTTTGCAGTCGCGGCGTTGCCCCGGCTCTGGGCAGGAGAGCAGAGCGGACCGTCCGAGCCCCGGGCAGCCCCGCCCCGCCCCGCCCCGCCCTGACCGGACCGCCTCCTCCGCCCCCTTCTCCCCGCCCCGCTCCGGCGGGGCGGACGCGCAGCATCAGGACCAGGCGGCGCCGCGGCGATACCGCGTTATCCCTCCAGGGGGCGCTCGGAGGCTGGCAAGCAGGGATGCTCCGGCAACGCATAGCAGTGAGGGTCCCGGCGGGGGAGGGGGGGCATTCTGGGCTTAAACCGGCAGGGCGACTCCCCTTCCTTCCCCGCCCCCCCCCCGCCATCCCCAGCCAGACCTGCTTCTGGCATGCTACTTGTTTTAATTGATCTTGTTTTTTATTGTTATCATTTACTTTAATTTATTTATTTTATTTATGAGATTTATATACCGCTTTAAGTGCAAGCACTCTCTAAGCGGTGTACACCAGTAAGCAATGTATATATATATTTACATTGCCCCCAACAATCTGGGTCCTCATTTTACCTACCTCGGAAGGATGGAAGGCTGAGTCAACAACCTTGAGCGGTGACATTTGAACCGCTGACCTGCTGAACACAGTCAGCTAAAGTGGCCTGCAGTACTGCACCCTAACTGCTGCGCCACCTGGGTTCTTATTTTAATTTTTAATTGAATCATTTTATTTTCTTATTTTTTTATTTTACTTTATGTTATTCTACTTGATTGTATTGTATTATTGTATTATTTTATTTTTTATTTTATATTATTTTGTATTGTTTTATTTTATTTTTATTTTATATTATATTCATATATTATATAAATTATATTCAATATATATTATATATATTATATTTATGCATTCATATTTATTTTTTATTTATATATTATGTATATTGCATTTATTTGTTTATATTTATTCATTTTATCGGATTTTTTCTTTTATTGTTATTATTTTACTTTATCTTATTTTATTATTTTGTTTTATTATTGTATAATTGTATCTTATCTTATTTTGTTACTTTGTTATTTTATTTTCATTTAATTCAATCTATTAATTTTTTATTTTTTATTTATTAATTAGGCCTCCCGTCTTTCTACCAAGCCGCTTACTACAGCCTAAAACACAGAATAAAACAAGGATAGGATTAAACCATTAAAACCCCAGGCATCGAAAGTGAAAACATTAAAATTAATATTAAAATGGATAAAAAGAACCAATGCATAGATGGGGGGGGACAGGTGAGGTCTTCTTGCTGCTCCACTAACCCCCTCCAAAATGGGACACCCCCAGGTTCCTTTCAGAAGGTCAAGGATGGGAATCATAAACAAGGTGGCCAACATGCTTTTTTCTCCTATTTCCTACAGAATGACAACCTGCGAGGTGGGTTGGGACGAGAGAGGGACTGGCCCTAAGCCACCCAACCAGCTTTCACATAATTGAGGTGGGAATAGTCCTTAGTTTCATCACACCATGACAAAACCGGTCTGGCCACTTGGAATGACCCCTTTGTTTGAGTTTCGGGGATTTATCACAATGTCCAGATTAGAAAAATGGAAAAAAATTAGACTTTGAAAGACCCTGTAAACCTGCGTCTCTAATCCACTGTTTGTCAACCTTGACCATGTGAAGATGTGTGTGTGCCTATGGAATTCCAGGAGTTGAAATCCTTAGAGCAGAGGGGTCCAATTCTGCTCCAACACTGGAGGGTTTTAGGAAAAGATTAGACAGCCATTGGTCTGAAATGGTTCGGAGTTTCCTGCCAGAGCAGGGGGTTGGACTAGAAGATCTCCAAGGTCCCTTCCAACTCTGTTATTCTGTTAAGTGACTCAGAGCATCAGCACAATGGAAGGACGTAGCAGCCACATTGATGACAGATGTCTTTTCACACCCAACACAAACCGTGCTCAGTTCTTCTCTGACCCTGTCATGATGGGATGGCTGGACGACTCAGCACTGCGTGGACTCTTTGGGACTTAATTCTGGTGAAATCACATCAACTTTTCCTTTCTCCATCCAGAATTTGTTTTTCCTTTCCTGTTTCCTCTTCACCCTGCTAGCCAGATGGGAAGATCTAGCAACACGCAGAAACTTTGGCATGCTCCAGTTCCTGAAGTCAAACTCCATCCTGGCTGGTTGGTGCACAAAATGAGAGCATTTCTACTACACCACCGTCTGCTATTCTGTTATTCTGCATTCTGTTATTCTGCATTCTGTTATTCTGCATTTTGCATTCTGCAGTCTGTTATTCTACACTCTGTTATTCAGAATTCTGCCATTCTCCATCCTATTACTCTTTATTCTGTCATTCTGCTATTCTGTTGTTCTGCATTCTGTTATTCCACATTTTACATTCTGCATTCTGTTATTCTGCATTTTGCATTCTGCATTCTGCATTCTGTTATTCTGCATTCTGTTATTCTTCATTCTGTTATTCTGCCATTCTGCTATTCCGCATTTTGCATTCTGCATTGTTATTCTGCATTCTGTTATTCTGCATTCTGATATTCTGCATTCTGTTATTTTGAATTCTGTTATTCTGCCATTCTGCTATTCTGTTATTCTGCAATCTGTTATTCCGCAGTTTGCATTCTGCAGGCTATTATTCTACACTCTGTTATTCAGAATTCTGCATTCTGTTACTCTTTATTCTGCCATTCTCCTAGTCTGTTATTCCATTATTCTGTATGATTGTCTTCCACCAGATGAGGAGGTAGAAAGGTGCTCCTCCACGGCTCCCCGGGGCAGCAAAACAGAGCCCAGGGCTAAGGGCCTTTTCTGCCTGTCCCAGCTGTTCCTTTGCCAGGAATCCAGTCATCAGCCCAACAGGTGCCGGAGGGCTGCCAAGACATGGCCTGGGAGAAATGAGCTATGAATAGAGCTGGGCCAGGGAGGGGGTGGATCAGCCCCTAAGAAAGAGCAGGGCTTTTTTTCTCATAGAACGCCCAGAATGGAGTTCCGGCACCTTTTTTGGATGGAACCTTGTAGGGTATGCAAGGCGGGTTGTATGACATGTGTGAGTTCCAGCACCTTTTTTTTTTTTTAAGAAAAAAAGCACTGAGAAAGAATATACTGGAAATTCCCTTTCCCCCTAGGTCTAAACTCAGCGACGTCACCGTAATAATAATAATAATAATAATTGTTATTGTTGTTGTTATTATGTAGACATGAAATTCAGTCAATTGAACATTCAAATTGACTGGCGCTGATGGTTGGATGCTGGTAGCAACCCGTGTCAACCATACAATAGAGAGGGAAGGGACCTTGGAGGTCTTCTAGTCCATCCCCTTGCTCAGGCAGCAGACCCTAGTCCATTCCAGACAGGTGGCTGTCCAGTCTTTTCTTAAAAACCTCCAGTGATGGAGCAACCCACAACTTCTAAAGGCAACTTCTGTTCCACTGCTTAATTGTTCTCACTGTCGGGAAATTCCTCCTTCGTTCCAGGTTGTACCGTGGACCCCATTCAAGCTGCCCTTGGTTTTCTTCTCTAGAAATGCACAATTCCTGCTTTAATCCTTAAAGAGAGCAACAAAAGCTGTGCGTTCTGCAGAAAGTGTCCAGCCTGCCTGGTGAGCTCTCTGGACATTTGGGCTGAACACCCTGGGGATTTTCCACAGGCGCTGCTGACTCTGATTTATCATGCGGCCTCAGTCCAAAATGTATTTATCACCCACCGTGACTAAGAGAATTGAAATGAAAACTCATTTATTTCCATCCCCCCCCCCCAGTCAGCAGAATTGGATGGAAGACATAGGGGAGATTTATTAGTTTACCATCTGAGAAACTTCCTAAGGACAAAGTGGATCCTTCTTCAGTCAAGAGCAGGGTTTGTGCAAAAGCAGGTTTCCCACTTTGGGAATTCCTCCAGAAGGACAACATCTCCCACCCTGAAATGAGAGCAGACCCCACTCCCTTCTAGCACTGACGTTGTTACCTAGTTGGGTCATGAAACGTCTGCAAGGAAACCACCCATCTCAGAGGGAACCAAGGTCCCCACAGTCTTCCTCCTCCTCCTCTTCCTCCTCCCCCTCCTCTCTGCAAAACTCACTCTTTTATAGCCCTGATCATGTTACCTAGTTGGGTAATGAAACGTTTGCAAGAAAACCACCAAGCTTGAAGAACACCAAGGACTCCACAGTCTTTTTTTCCTCCTCCTCCTCCTCCTCCTCCTCCTCCCCCTCCTCCTCCTCCTCCTCCTCCTCCTCCTCCTCCTCCTCTTCTTCTTCTCCACAAATCCCATTCCCTTCTAGTACTGATGATGTTCCCTACTTGGGTAATAAAACATCTGCAAGAAAACAACCCAGTTCAGAGAACACCAAGGATCCCATAGTCCTCCTCCTCCTCCTCCTCCTCCTCCTCCTCCTCCTCCTCCTCTTCCTCCTCCTCCTCCTCCTCCTCCTCCTCCTCCTCCTCCTCCTCCTCCTCCTCCCACATCACTCTCTTCTAGCACTGATCATGTTACCTAGTTGGGTCATGAAATGTCTGCAATAAAACCACCAAACTCAGAAAGCACCAAGGACCCCACAGTTGTTGTCCTCCTCTTCCTCTACCACCTCCTCCCCCTTGCCCTATTCCTCCTTCCGTCACTAGTAGCACTGATAATATTACCTAGTTGGGTCATGAAACGTCTTCAAGAAAACGACCCAGCCCACACAGCACCAAGGATCCCTCCCAACGTTTTTTGCAGACAATTGTTAGGAAAATGACATAGATCATACAAGTGACTCCAGCAAAGAAAGCAGTTTTTTAAAAAAATTAAACAAATGTATGGGGTGATTTCTATACAAGAGGAACATTATTTTAGGGAGAGAATAATTCATTTCGTGTTTCTCTAACTGAACGCTTGTGAGTATCCATTTGTTGGCTCTAAAACAGAGGGGTCTTCTTTAAATTTTGCCGTTGAGCTGCGCTTAGATAAGAGACAGGCAGATGGTAATAGAGATACATAGAGAAAGAAAGAAAGAAAGAAAGAAAGAAAGAAAGAAAGAAAGAAGGGAGGGAGGGAGGGAGGGAGGGAGGGAGGGGAAGGAAGGAAGGAAGGAAG